CTGATACAATTCCACCATTTCTTGGCCCAAACAGACCCCTCTTTTCGAAACAATCTCTGGGGGGTACTTTTTGTGCGCCTCCGTCTGGCGGAGAATTTTCCTTGAATTGGGACACTGCACCCCATAATCAAGTGCGAGAGATAGATCCGTAGATGTTGAATAGTGCCCTCGTAAATCTGGACTACCCACTCCCGCCTGCATGTACCCAATTTATGTACATGTACATGGTAATTTTGGGGCCCCACCGTACCATTGTAATCGGCTTTCAGCGCATGCGATCTTCCCCCCATGCAAACTACATGTAAATATGTACGGTGGAACACCGTTAAAAGGTCCTTTAGACTACACATTGCCGTTATAATATATGTACATACCTTACACGTGTATTGTCAGTCAAGAAAAAACAAACTTGGGACCAAAAGTTGTCCTTGTCAGAAACGTCATCTTCTATGACCAGCGTCATCTGTGTTCGGCCGTATTCGGGGTGGTGGCAGCGTTTACAAGTTCTCAAGCGCAAACGTAACCTAGAGTGTAGTTAGAAATAAACCTTCCAATTCGGGAAAGAACCAATCCTTTACAACATCTGTATCTTTTATTGGATAAAAATACATCAAATACCTTTAACAGAAAATATGCGCAAACCGGTCCAAGGAAATTAAAGCCCACACACTATCCTCGAAACGGTTCACTCGCACGGACACGAGAAAAAAGAGAGGAAATATTTTCACTTCTACGTCCGACATTGTGACCAAAAATTCCACACAGGTCGAGTTTTCCCATTTCAGCACAATACCCTGCCAGTGAATATATGCCCAGCAATCATATTTACATGTACTGTACATACATAATCCATTTTATCTCGAGAGGGCATCTACAAAATGTGAATTTGGTTAAGGAATATTCGTTACTTGGTTTGGACACTGCTAAATCTGCTTCTAGTGAATACATGTACATATACGTTCATTGGCTTTGTCCATTTTCAAATACATTAAGCATTGGTATTAATGAAACCGTGCAAGTTTAAAAGCTGATGTATCCATAACGAGTGTGTTCACATAATGTTGGGCAAGGCATGTCTCAATACTAAACGAAACCTTACAATGGAAATCTTAATACATGTACCAGTCTTAAAATTTCAACAAATCACACAAACATCCAAGTTCGACACGAGAAACAGTTAAACTAAATTCAGAGTGTGTCAAGTAACTTTCCCTTGATTTTCCCATTTGGAAGAGCTGGAGTTTATATACATTTATACAATGAGTGTGTTTTTAATGGTCCCAAATGGGCTACTGTTAAATATAGAGGATGCCTCCAGGGTTTATCAAGCTTTGCCTGAGCTTTGGGCAAAGAATGGACAGAGTTCTAGCCAATCTGTGTAAAATTTGCCAGTCAATTCAAGCATTAAAAGCTGGACTCCCAGTCATCCAGCACTGTTGTCCTGACCAGAGCTTCCGTAACCCTGTAGGGGTCACAGTTGGAGGACGGGCGGCGATCTTCAAGGTATCCCTTGTTATCCTCTCCAACCTTCAAGAGAAAATGGTAGTATTAAACAATTTTAGTAAATCCACACGACAATCACAACGTGCACAAAGACACCATTCTCTTTTATCTTTGAGGCCATAAAAGATATCTTGAAATTCAAATTCAAATTCTGTTTCCAATGAGTAAAATATCCAAAGATGGTGTTGACATTGAAGGATTTCTTCAAAATCTTTCTGCCACTTTGCATTAACAGTTTACTCACCTGCCGTGGTATTCTAATGCTGCAGCCGCGGTTAGCAACACCGGAGGAGAAGTCATGAATGCTGGATGTCTCATGCTTGCCCGTCAACCGCCTGGCATTATCCTCTCCATTCTTGGGGTCATATGCGCGGATGTGCTCATCGTGACGCTTGCCAAGCTTCTCAATGGCCTTCTTGATGTGCCTGGAGGAAGAGACAAGCAGAACTATTTTTGAGTCTGCACGATCAAGAGCTGAGCCTAATTGCTATTACACCGTACAGGGCCTGGCTTTTAAAAACTGCGGTAACACAAGTCTTCTGGTGGTATGCATTCTGGTGCATTTAGCAGGTTTGGTGCACCTTCGGTTTTCTGGTGTATTTTCTGCTGCTCTATTTCTTTAAAGCAAACTGTAAAAAATACCCGATTCTTCTTGACAACTTTTTTAAGTGCCGGCTCTTAACAGTAGAACACAAGGGTTCAGCAGAAAATTGGACAGACTTACACAATGCCACCATCTTCCCTCATAGGCTTAGTGCTGTAGTTGCAGTGGGCACCGGCACCGTTCCAGTCGCCTTCCATGGGCTTGGGGTCTAGCGTGCAAATCACACCGAAGTCCTCACAGACGCGGTGCATGATGAAGCGGGAGATCCAGAGGTGGTCGCCCATGGAGATGCCCTCACAGGGCCCCACCTGGTACTCCCACTGGGCTGGCATCACCTCGGCATTGGTGCCCGCTATTTTGACACCAGCATACAGGCAGGCCTTGTAGTGGGCCTCCACAATGGGTCGACCAAAGACCTTGTTAGCACCCACACCGCAGTAGTATGGACCTGCAGAGTAAATGGCAATATCCAATCAATGTAGCACAAGCAAAAATCACGGGTCCAATGAAGTACTCTAAACTTCAGACTCGCATCCTTTAATTTCAATCAGAAATGCTTGAATAGACCTCTGTACTAACGAGGCTATTACTGTGTGGGCGCTTTCCCATGTGCTTACAAGAAAGTGGGCCCCAACTGCATCCAAAGAAAAGGCATACGTAAACAAAGCACGTCGACACGAGGCCTTAATTATGACAGCCAAGGCAGACATGAAACAGTTGATCCAACAGTTCTGGGAAATGATATTTGCTATCATTTGAAACAATGCTCTCTACCTGGTGGTTACTGGAGGTTCTTACCTTGGGGTCCAGGGTAGCCCAACTTTGGCCAGCCAAAGGGGTGCTTGTCCTGGGCCAGCAGCGTGTACTCCTGCTCAATGCCGAACCAGGGGGCTGCATCCTTGGCAGCTTCCATCACTTTGTTGCAGGAATATCTGAAGTTGGTATCTGAATTGGGAGGGAAAAAGCCCTTGTCATCTTAAGTCCAGTTGGGACTGACGCCATCATATCAAGAGGCTGGGAGGTGTCACACAATAACTCTTGAAGACAATGGAATCCTCAGAAGATCAAGAGATCAATATGCACAAATGTGACCCTAAGTTTGCACCGATTTCTTCTTCAGCGTCACAAAAGCATCAAAATCACAACCACTAGAAGTCTACCGAGCAGAGATGCAAGCAACACCAGCCAAAGAGATTCCCAACAGTCTCTTGGACACTTGAAAGGTAGAATCGTTGAGTATTGGTTTTTATGACCACTAAAGCTAGGTACCATTCTGTTCCTACCTGCAGGTGATTTGTCGTACTTCTGAACCTCGCACATGACAAGCTTGTTCTTTCCCCGGCGGAAGGGATCCTTGAACAGAGCCACTGGGACGATGTACATGTCACTGTTGGAACCCTCGGCCTGCCATGTACTTGATCCATCATAGTTCCAAGTGGGAAGATCTGGGCAGAAAGAGAATGTTAACTCCTCAATGTCTTTTACTTAGCATTAGACCAACTGCATTAATGTCCCAAATGCACTCGACAGAAAGAGTTCAATATACGAATGCCACTTGACACCCTGTGCACAAACCCTATCAGACTGTCCGCATTGTGTGCGAATTCTATCACTGATATCAGCTACAGTGATTTTTTTAATCCAATAAATTATTTCTTTCCAACAGCTTCCAGGGAGACAAATTTGTACACTTTGTCCAGTCTTGCAATTTCTAATTTCCACCATGCACTAATGAAAGACAAAAGGGCCAATTAACACAATTGATTTAAGTTGAAATCACATGAAAAATAAAAGCATCTTACCACTTGGCAATTGTGGTTCCTCATCTACTGTTTTCGTCTTACACCGTACATTTTCACCTGTCCCATCAACCCACACATATGTACACTGTACCCTCCCATCTGAGGGCAAGTCCATATACGACTGCAAAACTGTTCTGTCCAGAGAAGCTGAATAATCTGCCATTCTGTGAAAAAACAAATTCCATTTAAAGTTTCGTTATGAAAAGCCATTGAAATTTGAAGCCAGGGCCATATAAACAATCTGTTTTTGTCCAGTTTTGCCAAAATAGGGGCAAACATAAAAAATACAAAATCAGGATATGGCTTCAGAAAGATATCAGCAGGGACGATCAATAGATTTTTTTTTTGCTTTAACAAGTGTAAAAAATCATAATTACGTACAATATTTCTGGGAAAGAGTTCTATATACGGACAACACTTGATGTCCCTGTGCACAAACCTATGAATCTTGTGTGGTAAAAAAAAGTTTCTTTCTAAAGGCTGTTGTAGCAGAATGGGAAAATTAGTGTTTGTATATGGAACTCTTTCCTATTTTCGTAGAATTATGAAGACATTTTGAAGCATTCCAACAGTAAAAACTACTGCGTGAAGAATTCAGCAAAATTTCCCAATCATGTACAACATGTATGATGAGCTACTGCAGAAATATTAATTTTTTAATAAAATTCAATTTCAAATATTTACATATCACTGAGGGGCTAACTAAATAAAATGGACTCTGAATTCTTAGCTTGCATTTCTTTTCCCAGAAAATTATACCAACAGTGGATATTTGAAACCAAGGAAAGAGTTTCATATCTGGACATAACCTGTCACCCCGTGCAAAAACTCTGGAAGACTGGTCTGAAAACTTGCATTCAGAGTAAAAGCCCAACATTTCCACCGCTAAATTTGATTTTTTAAGGTCACATTAGGCCTACTATCTGATGGCTAGTACTCAACTACTACAATGGAAAATAAGTGATGTACAGAATTTGTACCCGCCCAAAAAATTAGCACAACTGGTTTACCTGTATTTTTGCTTGCCGAGTTTTCTTAATGGGACACAAATTTCAAGTTCTAGGGAAACCCATTTGGAATTTGGGGAAGAGTTCCATATACAGACGCCAGGAATTATTCCCGGCAGTAATACCCATTAGCCCTCAGAAGGCAAAAACATGTTAAGAAAAGTTCAATTTAGGTGGGAAATAACCGAGTAGTTTACTTGGGGAAAACTAAAATTTTTCAGACCAGTCTTGTAGGGTCTGTGCATGGAATGTCAAGTGGCATCCGTATATGGAACTCTTTCTGAAGTTTATAGACACTTCACGAGATTAACTGGCATCAGTGTAAGCCAAAATCATGGGACATGACTTCAAAGACAACCACTCCCTCCGACTGTGGCCTTATGCCTTAAGAGACAAAAATTGCCCTTTACAACACTGATCAAAAGCAGGCGTGACGAATAATTAGACTCAGTGGAACTGGAAGTCTTTTAAAAGACTCCTTTATACAGGGCAGCCCCGTATTTTGGGAACTTAACAGTCAATAGATCCAACGTTACACGTCACAACCTTCAACTTCAAGGTGACGTCAGTCAATACAATGCAGTGCGAGAAAATAACCGGCGTGACCGATCAATGTCTGCATGGTCTTTTTTCATCATGTCCATCAGCCAATCTTAATTTCCAAATTCGAAACAAGCCGGTTTACTCTGCATAATCTTGAACCACGGCATGCTTTAATGTAACCACGAGTTAAATGTAACCATTACCAATATGTTGGAAATTTACAAAGTAACGTTATGTACAATGTGTCGATATAACCGTAACGAAAAGCAAAAAAATTGGTGGTTAAACGTGACATGAACTTTGGTTTTTCGATGAACATATGTTCCCACAAAACCAACGCCACATCCACAACCGATCGCGTGGACCAGACACACGACTGCAGTTAATTCTTGCACCAAACGTGTCCAGAAATGTCACAAACAAACGTAAAATGGTGTGATCTTACCTGTTGATATGGTGTGGTCGAAAATCGACAATAATCCGGCAAGAAAAATCGGGAAACGAACAACAAACTCCGGCAAGGTCAGACACGTTCTGTACCACCGCGCCAAATATGACCGAGATATATTGCAGTAGAACGGTTCAATACCCACACCGCTGATTGGCTGATTCCCAGATAACACGCGAAGATAGCACACTGATTGGTTGCTACTCCCAACGAGGAATGACGAACGGATGATTGCAATGCCGCATTCTTTAATACACTGGCCCTCCCCACTTGCACATGTTCACGAAACACGTGCGTGAAGGGAGTGATGTATTATCATTTTCCATTAATGTTGACAACAAACCTGAGCGCTAGCATTAGTCAAATATAATGTAGCTGCGAAAAGTACGAAAGGGGAAATACCGCGTCATTGCTATTTATCTGATTAGCATGTCACACTGCTTGCAGTACTGTGGTGTGCAGTATTTTTCCACAGTTAGGCATTGCCGACGAAGAAGTGGAGGGGGATTGGAGCATAGATTAAAAAAAAAAGCATTCCCTCCAAACTGGGACAGTAAGAAAACAGATGAGACAGGCACTGTCTTTTTTTTTCTCTAACAAGCATCTTATGATTCAACAATAAAGATGGCATAAAGAAGGTTGTAGGCCTATCTCCAAAAGAATGTTCGCCACACCTCTTAAATTGTTGGGGGATGGTATAAAAATGGCTTGAATGAAACTCCTCGAATCTGTATCCTACCCGATACTGAAGTCTAGGTGCGTGTATAGCACGTGTGCATCACACGCAGGCGGTGCATGCACAGTACATGTACATAATAGGCCAATGGGTCCATGGTACGGTCATGAACCTAGTCAACGAAAATCAGCCCAGAAACCTAAACAACAATTATCAAACACGTCACAAGAGCTATTAGATGACTCAGTAATTATCCTCATCTTTTAACATGGTCGTTGACAGTGAGACGACTGTTTTTCCCCAACACAATTATCAACCTTTAAAAATAAAGTTGCTCATTCAAAGCATGGTCAAAACTAGAGCAAGAAACAGATGTCTATAGCCTACTTTAATTTATCCAGCTCAGAGATGAGGTTAACAATTGTACTTCACCGAAGGGTCGATAATTTTCTTAAACATTTGCATTGCAAATTAACCATTAAACTGCAGATATAAAAATAAATTCTAGGTAATAATGTCTGTGTGATAATTGACATGAAACTTGACAAAATTAAACCATTTATGCACACCACGTGAACTGCAACATTGTGAGTTGCTGATGACGTACGGTATACTGCGCTTTGTGTTCTGGCCGATTGAGTTAATTCATTAGTTTAAGACAATATGGATTTACGGGTGGCAATGACGTAAGTAGAGTGTTTCAGGGTGGCGTCTTATCGAGTAAAATCCTCCCACTCCATATGCCCCAGGGAGCCTGTTCTGCTCATATTAAACTTCCTTTAAATGCAGTGTGTGTTATGAGAAGCAGCGAAAACGTAAATGCAGCTTTAATTATATCTAATGCCCCACGCACAGAAACAACACTGTACTGTGTTTACAGACAGCGTTGGGTGGGCTAAACCTTTCTTCGGGGCGAAAATTTGGATGAAGCTTTTACTGCAAAAGACTTATTTGTACAGTTGCGACGTTTATTGTTCGAAATCGGTCAGTGTTTTCAATAATTTGTAAATGTTTATGCCAGTTACCATGATAAAAAGCGAAAGGCTAACATTTATTCTCAATTTCTGTAAAACTTTCGTGAGAATATGACTGTTTCAGCTACATGATTTAGGCTTATGCTGTGGGTATAACAAAAAATCTCACTGTTTATACATGTACGGCTATACTTTTTCTTGTTATTGTCATGATATCAGTTTTCCGTAACAAGTTATGAAATAATATTGAACGTGTAAAGAAATCACTTTTTGATTGGTATTGTGAAATACCGAGTGAAAATGCAAATTTCACACTTCAATCAATAAACAACCCGTTAACACGATTTCAGTGAGTGAAAATGTTACAGAAACTGGCCGCATTATGAACTGTTCAGCCTCACTGAGAAGCTCCCTCTTTCTATGCTAAGCTTTGTTCTCTCTGTACTCCCCGGTGGCTGGCTATTTGTCCTGTAGCCCTTTGCGCCCCAAACTCCTCGAAGTTCACTGAACCCTGAAGGGATCACGGCTGGTCAAAGAATCGGGGCAGTTGGAGGAAATCGATTTCATACTTTGTACTAGACTAGGAAGACTGTATTGGACACATCGAATCATTATTAAATCCCAACAGAGACTACGAAAAGGAGACATGAAGTATCGATTAAGCCAACGGGGGGGGAGGTTCGGCGGGAAACACAAAATGCCAATATGACGTGACGTGTGAAGCGTGCTTATTTGGTGTTTTGAGGCAGTACAAGTATTCCCTCTTTTTTCATAAACCACAGCAACACTGTAGAAGCGATCGTAAATGCATTTTTATAGAGGTATGAAAACATTCCTACAATGCATCCTGCACGATGTTAATGTGACAGGATGGAGATGCCCCGCGTCAAGGCCTCGCGCTGCATACCCACGAGACGTAGCTTGCAAATAGCTAACAAGAAACCAGCAGACGGCATTGACTGCAGTAAACTTTGGAGGTAGTTCTTTCCTCGCTTTTCACCTTCGATTCCCAGCTCGGTCAACATGTGGATTAGGTTCAAGTTCAGTCCCTACCTAGCTGATTCCGTGGCTTTTACCCAGAAATTTCTTCTCTGGGGTTTTCCTCCCACCACTAAAACTGTTATTGCTACTTATTGCCTCCTCTCTATAGATGTAGCTGGATGAGGATCGTTTGGCAGTTGCCTGGGGCGCCCGTCTATGTCATTGCTATGATTCGCCCGACCACGTTTAATGTCTTCGCTATGCAGCGCATTTCAACATACCTGTATGATATTTGCGCTTTATAAATGAATAAATTATTCTTCTTGAGGGGCTATAAGTCTGAAAACGTGAAACGTTATGAATTTTGGGAGGTAACCTTTATTACAAAAATGAAACTTTTTCACATTTGATTTAAAACTCTGTTCTCTTCCCACAAATCGATTATCGGAGTCATACTCAACCACAAAGTTTTCTTGTCTCTTTTGAGTTTGATTATTGTCAGGGGAAATTGTAAGAACATGGGCAAAAACATGAATTGAATCCCACTCAAAAATTGTAAATCTTCAACAATATCCCATTAAAGTGAGACATGGCAACATTGTACTCAACCATCCATGCAAAATAAATTAGATTCGAGCTGTGTGAATACCAAAACAAAAACACAGTATCGTAAATTTCAAAATGTTTAAATTACATTTCATGTTTTTTCGCTACTTTTTAAAATGGACACTTGCTTACGGACTTCCCGCCCGACTCAAGAACGAGAAAACAAAATGTAGATGAGAATGTTGTCAGGGAATGTTTGTGGGGTATGATGAAATCGTTTCTATTGTATGAACCATGAACCAACAACCTCCTACTGAGTATCTCGATCAGCCAACAAATTTCGTAACATTTGTGGCGGGAATTTCCCAAACACCACTTTTGTCATTGTAAGCATTGTTGCACTGAAAACTGCATTGAATTCTTCCGTAGAGAACAATTAACCAAAAGTGCAAACGTCTCTTTAATGGACAAATCCCTTGTGCGCCCCGTGCGCCAGTTCGTTGACAACGGATGGCCTATCATGGCACGGACAGATTCGCTTTACATTGCGCAAAACGTGTTGCAACAGTCTCGCTCTCATTTCGCAATTGATGGCGCAAAGGATTTATTGTCTGCAAGCTGAGCTACTGGACCTATTGAAAGCTTCAATGGTCAGGCCATCCGAAACAGATGAACAGATTTCCGATCACGCGATCTAGTATTCGTTTTTCCTTTTGACAGACGAGAGGAAATGCATCGAATGGCGCGAGTGATATCAACCCATATTGGCCCATGTATCATGGTCATTAAATTAAATTATATTAAGGGGAGTCGATGCCTGTATTCAATGAATACTAAATTCGAAAAAAAAATAAACAACACAACCAACAAAAAACATAAACATAAAGGGGTCGAAAAAGGCCTCATTCAATATTTCAGATTGATGTCTTTGCAAACTCTTCCAGGAAAATGAAGAGAAACCTCTGCAATGAAGATTACAAATAGATGTGGAACTGTTTTCAAGAATTTTCAAATAACTTTCCATTAGCATTTCCCTGAATCTCGTGGTTTAACAAAGATTACGAGAGAGGAAGATGAATTCCTGGTCTAGTCTGCACAGCTGTTCCCAGTTTGGCAGGTTCATTTTATTGCACGCAACACACTAGACAATCATAAACATAGTAGAATCTAAACAGAATTATTGATTTCAACCATGCCAGATGTCTGCATTTCAATCCGCATTTGGAATAAAATCTGTATAAGACAGAAACAAAAACCTGAAAATGTCATCCTGTCGAGTCTTGGCTAGTTTCAAAGGGCAACCGTTGAACAAGTTTGGTTGCGACGAGGAATATTAAATGTTTAGGATTTCAAATTGCTTCACATAACTACAGAATTATTTGTCGGCTTCAATGACTGCCTTTTCAAATGTAAATATAAGCACTGATCAAGTTAATGGAGACATGGCCTGATTAAAATGGTACATTGTAAATTTGTGTACGTATTTAAATCAAAATATTCCCCAAGTGAGTGCTTTGACCATTTTTATAGAATTATGTACTGTGCAGGAAATAAAAGAAAATAAATGGGGGGGGGGGGACAGGGAAAACTTCCACAGTAAGACAGCAACTCTCCAGTTTCATCATTTTGAAATCAACTTAATTGAAGATAATATCACCACAAACATGTGACTCATTAGATCATAAATTAAAAAAAACACAATTCCACACTTCACCAAAAAAATTAATCAAAAAAGAAGAACAAATTAACCAAAAAGAAAATTAGAACTAGAGATCGTGAATTTGCTGAGGAATGGGGTGTAGTTTGCTTTGAACAAGCCTTTTCTCTTGCTTCAACCAAATTTAGCATATTCCCCGCAGCACAAAAGAGGCTCAGGCACTCAAGAAACAGAAAACTTTTCTCCATTCCCAAATAGTTCCAAACTACGCCTACTATCAAATGGTTACCACCGAGGGGAAAAAAGAAAAAAATAGAGTTCATATTGAGGAAGTTGGCATGGCAACAGATGTAGGGTACTGATGGTCCAGTTGGCGGAAGTTCAAGGAGCACTTGTTACGTTCTGATGTGTAGCCGAGTTTATCGTATAGATGTGCCTGTTGAAAAACGATAAGACAAAAGAGCACAAAGGTAGGAAAACCAAAAGATAAATTCATCAGTAACCCTCGAGATAACTTTCCACTAATGTACTCGTGGGTGAAATAGCAATACATTATACACCTGTGCGAATATGAAATGAAATGCTGATGTATATCCTGGATTTAGAAATATCAAACAGCTTGACAATTAATTAGTTTCATAATTTTGCCACATGACCATCTGTTTTTTTTTTTATACATGTATATATGTGCATATATAAAGGACAGTGCCCCGCAAAGAACGTGTTGTCAGAATGCTTAAAATGCAACTGTTCATCAAAGGAATCAGCTTATCTTTCAACTAATCTGATCTATTTGTTCTTCTCAAGAAGCTATGGTATTATACCAACACTGAAATGTGGGAGTTTCACATTTGAATACTGAATGTACAAATGAAAACACTTGGCATATCCGTGGCCACAAGGTCACATGCAACCCTTTTTCCAAGTCCAATATTAAACAGCTAGTTCTATGCGATCTCCACCGTAGATTAAAATATTGGGTTCTTCCTTTGCCAACCTAATTCAGGCAAGGATCAGGGGGGTAGGAAAAAACACTCTGAGACCAAAAACAAGAAAAAATGGTGAAAATGATAAAAAATTACTCGAAGCGCACCACTATTGTAAACAATGTACGGCATGTATAATTTTTCATAGTTTCTGCTTGTCTACAAAAAATGAGACATGAAAAAAATCTCCGGCCTGATCCCCACTGGAAAAATTTCCAGATCCCCCCCTGCTAATTTCTTTCAACAACTTATGGGACTCAAACCCACTACTTCCTGCTTCCTATTGCAGATGTTTTAACCAGTCAGCCAATAAGATTGTTGGGCTTAGTCAGTGAGCCAATTTGAAGCTGGTACAGCAAAGGTGTCAAACTCAATAATTGTTGGACTTTTAGGCCAAGTCGATGGAAACTTGAACACTGGGTTTCCAGCGGCAGGCCTACTTTTTCGGAGACCCCAACTTTTCAGAGAAGGGTAAAAAACAAATGGACTTTAAGGGGGAGGTAGGAGAAACATACTTGAAGGTAGATGACATCCTTGACACGGTATTCTGCCTCCGTCTTGTGGAAGCCATCTGCTGTTTCTTGGAGAAGTTGTACCACTGAAAGCAGAACTACAATTGGTGGGGATAAAAACAGATATCACTGCTTGACTGATGATATCTCTGAGGGACAAAGCACGATCAATCAACCATATGAGAGCCAGGCTCACGTAAGTAATAGTTTAATGTTTGACAATTTCTCTGCCCTTTCTTCAAAGTGATCCACACTGCAAATCTTGCCGGTGGAAGGCTTTGGCAATAACAAGCAATATAAGTTGTGGAATCTGCATTGTTCATCTTAGCATTGCATCCTTCACCAGGTAATAGCTTTCAAGCTTTCAGCCAGGTTTTGGTATGGCGGATCACATATTGCCATGCACTAATATCGTAAGTGTAAAGGCCAGTTCATACTGCCGGGTAAGGTTAATAATAGAAAGCGAAGTGAACTTGACGTCATGGAAGATTTGAAAGATAATTTCACTTGAGTTGAAATGTGTCCAACTTTTGCAAATTTGAAGCACGAATATTTTTCAACTGACACCACAAATTAACATTAGTGTTCTCTTTCACGTGAAGTATGAACCGGCCTTAAATTTGGAGACTTTTGAAAGGTGTGGGAACAATTGAAATTGACTACATAGAGGCTGTTTTTGAAGGCCATAAATTTGTGTGAGTTAGAATAAAACTGCTCAAAAAGCACTATACGCATGAGTGTTCAAACTACAGGTAGGCTAGGAAAAACACCACCAATCTATACAAAACAGTGATTCCTTTTTACTTAAAAATTACCAAATCAAAATGATTTCACAAAAAATATATCTCAGCAAGGAACATTCAAGTAAACACAATTCAAGAAGTAACAAGGATGGGGGGGGTTACATTTGGATTCTGCTGAATTTAAGTAAAACTTTGTGCGAATATGTCAACCTATTACAAACTTTCAATCCTATCTGTTCAGGTCTGCTGAACCAGAAGCGTGGGCCTATTCAGCACTTTGTCATTTAATTGACCACATCCAAATGACACAGTTCAGCTGGGCGACTTGCCACACATGTCTGAAAGGTCGGCGAGTGGGACAGCTGGCAACACTGTCACTGTCCTTCAACTTTAACTGCATGAATCAAAACATCCTAATCGGGGATGGACTGAAAGATTCCCACACACCACTGACGGAAAGTTTAGAAGAGGCAAAGACTTTGTTTCTTATGCGCTTAATGGTGTAATAAGCTCAGGAAAAAATCCCCCCCTAAAAGTTTTAAATATGGGTCAGAAGATCATCATTAAAGGAAAATCGGCTACAATGGCTGCATGCATTGCTAGGCATGCACAAGGGTTTATCCACTACGAACACAGGGCGAGGGTTCCCTTCCGTCGTTTTCTCTGTTTTCTCCTCAATGACCAATCTACATTCAGAATTCGCATCTTTTTAGCTTGTTATAGTTGAGCTCTGGAGACAAACGACACTGCGTTTGATTTGGATGCTTCCATATTTATTTGAACAGATAAAATCAGAGAAAACATGTTTTCCGTAGAGGTGCTCTTTAAACTGGTACTGATAAAGTGATAATGTCTTTTTATGAGCAGCTTATCCTGGAGCTTTTGCAGGAATGCCGTTGCATACATGCAGAGTGTGAAATAACAGTCGCACAATTTTCCCACCAAGGGCTGTCTTAGTCCGACCAAAAGATGTGGTAAGCCAGATGTCCAAAGGAAATGTGAAGGCAAAAAGTCTCAAAAGCAAACTCGTGTTGGTGCTTTTACTCTGATTGTTGTTTCCTGTGACATTTAAACTGTGAGTGTAATTCAATGTTGAAACCAAGTCATTTTTTCCCCAGTCTAGTCAAGTCTCAAGTCAAATAAATAGCGCCTTGCAGAGTCCGAGTCAGCGACTCGAGTCAACAACACTGGAGAGCATATTCTCAAGAGAACTTGCTATTATGTCAAAATTAGCTGACAAGGGCAGAACTTCACTGATCACGCTCGAATGTTTTGTCTAACCACTTTGTAGCCTAATTTCAGGCTCTGTACACGCCGAACATCTCTGGATTCAATTTCACACCGATACACTTATTTATTTTAGCTTGTCAAGTTTAGCTCTAACTTTACAACAGTTTCATTCTTTTCAATTTGTAATTTTTCAGTCACTGAATTTGAATCGCAAGCCTTTTCAAATACTAATTATATAGCGAACAATAATTTTGTTTCTTCTTTTACGGTAATTTTGTCCAATTGCAAAGAGCTTCAAGATTGTTTGACAATGTGAGGCATTTTTAAAGAATATATTATTAACATCCTATTACTATCAGTTTTCTTGATGGTTTTAAACACTATTACTCTTGATGGTCTTAAGTACTATTACAATAAATACGCATTTAAACTGTGCATGTACATTCATTAACATAAAAAATGCAGCAGATGGCGTAACTACGCTAATATGACACCGAGTATCTGGCCTTATCGGTGAGTTTGTTAGCCCACTGCACTTTGTCTATGCGCTGCATATTCGTTTTTTTCTTGCAAGAGATATCTGGTTCAACGTGTCAACATTAACACAACAAGAATTCACACCTGTACCTGCTTTGCGGTTCTCATCTTTCTGTCTTGAACTACAGGCAACTTGGCATTTGGCGTAAAGAAATTTGACACAGCACTGATCGTACAGGGAACCTGCAAATGGTAAATATTTATGAACAGTTCAAAATACTGGGAAAGAGGAAAAGCAGAGGGTGAAGTGTTGGAGTAGGGGTGGAGAATTGTTGGCTGTTGAATTGGATTACACACAGCAAATTCTGTTACTATTGTTCAACTTTTAGTGGTGCTGCGAACTCAACAGTTTTTACAAAATAAAAAATTTCCTTGGCATCACAATAAAAAACAAACCAGCCCCAAAGTGACAAACTACGGAGTGTTCCTATCCAAAAAACCCCAAATATTTCATGATTTACAGAGCTTTTAGCTTCAACTTTCCTGCAATTTAAACATACTGGCCGTTGTGCTGGAAAAACTCCCAATGGTCCAGAACCATTATTCCCCTCGGCCCAAAATGTGAAGTTTTCAGGTACCGTTTTTTTTTTCAATTATAATGTAACTAAAATTCGGCCAAGCAACAGAACAGAAATCTTTCTGTCTTTCATAACCTAAGCCAATTGTAATCCATAGAGAAGCCCACGGTTTTCACCTTATGTTCTCATGTTTTTATTGTGCATTAAACTGTCCCTTATTTTCAAATCTTTGGCAAGTCATGGTATGGTTGCTCATTTCTGCCCAATCCTTAAAATTTCTGTTAAACCTTCACAGTTGTTTTTAACAACTACAGACAAAACACATTAGACTTTCACCCCGTTCAGCATACAATGCACAGGCCAACACTGCATCCTGGGACATCCATTGTTTTGTAATCTGATTTTTCTAGGCACAGAATCAGCTGCACTAGGAGTTCAAAACAACTCGGCAGTTTTTTCCCAGGGCAGCCGGACAAATTCAGACAGATAATGGGTGAAGGTTTAAAGTTAAATCTTTGAAAATGGATTCTGGGTTGCTGACAGGCTGTGTGTCAGCAACTATGTACATTGTAGCCCCCTGGGTAAACAAGTAAAACAACACTAGTAGTTGCAGGGCTGTGTGTCTGCTGGCCAATCTCCATTCTCTCAGAGAGGGCAATAAAATCTAGTTCGGAGTTGAGGTGCAGTAGCGTTGGTTGACTATGGAGTTAAAGGGAAGGCTCTTTGAAACTATTTCATTCCATCTGTGACTGGCTGGAGTTTGTTGCAAAACCTACGTGTGGATTGGGTTTATATGAACTTAAGAAGGATTAAGAATAGGGTTATTTAGGGGTAAGGGGTAGGTGATGAGATGGGGTAGAAGCAGGGGCATAGCTATGGGGGGGACCTGGGGGGACGAGGGACTTTCCCCCCACAAATTCCTGGTGCCCCCTCCACAAAATAAAAAACAAAAACGGGTGAATGGATTTTTAACAAAGCTAACCAAAGCTTCCCCCCCCCCCGAAAAAATGCACCACTGAAAGCTGGTGTCCCCCATAAGATGCTGGAGCCCCTCCCCCACTAGGATTGGGGTAATGACGGGGGAGGGGTAGGCATTGAGGTAGGGGTTGGAGTTGGGTAGGGGAAGAGGTTAGAATGGGGTTGGACTGGAGCAGGGGTTGGGGATTGGTAGGGGTAGGTGTTTGGATGGGGGTATGGGTTGAGTAGGACAGGTGTTGGGCCGATGTGGCAGGGTAAGAGCTGAAGCAAGGTTTGGGATAGATACAGCCAAGCTATAGGAGTTGGGGTAGCTGCAGATTCCAGTTTGGATGGGATAAAGGTTGGGTACAAAGTAACTGGCTTCGGGGTTAGGGCTGGGTGGGTAGGAATTTGGGCAGAATAAAACAGGTGCTTGGATGATTTGTGCTGGGGTGGAGAATGACTGATTGCTTAAGTGAAGGACTATCCAATTTTACTACAACTGTATAATTTTCAATAGTGCTGACACTAAATGGCATCTTACGAAAAACAAAGAAAAAGTAAAAATAACAGTGACAAGATAAAGTGTGTCGAAATCAAAGGCAAATACTTCATTATTTACATCAGGGGTGAAATGACAAAACACAATTAAAGTACAGGAAAAAAAATAAATTTTATTAACCCAACCCGTACAACCCCTCCTTTTTTTCAAATATTGATTTTCTTGTAATTCTGCACAAAGCGACAATAACGTTGATCTTTCTTTTAAAAAATATTCACATGGCAAAACCTGACAAGACAGTCAAGTTAGACTTTACTCCTAAGCAGCCGGCAATGGACAGACCCAAACCACAGTCCATCCAGGAACCTTTCATTGTCTTGTTATCTGATCTTTGTCTGAGCCCAGAACCGAATGCTGTAGATTTCCAGAGCAACAAAACATACACAAACAAAAAACAAAACGTGGCGTGACAAACAGCAGTCAAGTGATTTGAAAATGGATTTTGGATTGTGGACAGCATTATGGGTAGTTTATAGCAGGCAAGATAAGCGTAAGTAGCACTAACACAGTCACAGATCCAAAAGTTGCTGAGTTTACAATTCTCCAGATGGGCGTGATGATCCACTGCAGTACAGTGCAGTCCTGGTAACAACGTGGCATGTACATGTACATCACTGACACTAAAAAGGGTCTTAGCAATTACTTTTTCTCTCACAGTTTTTGTTTTCAACTTGACACTCCACTGCTTTGCATGAAAACTATTCGACATCTCTTTGGGGTTATTAAGTATTGAAAAAGTGCACTTTTTTCAACATCAATTGACCTTGCTTTATTTGACAATTGGGTTGCTGCTGATGTTAATCAGGGAGGCATTGTTCAGTTTGCTGATTTTTCTGTTCAAATTGTGAAATCAAAAATATGCTCAATGGAAGCATGGCTGAGAGAGGGCTGCTAATTTGGTTTGTTGCATTGCACTTAAGCAACAATGAAACAACAAAGACAAGGAAATTAAGAGTAGCAACAATGGAAACTTCCAGCAAACTTTGTCCACAAATGTGAAGGTTTTCATCCTGGGATGACATCATGCTCATTAGCATACAAATGCACCAAAGTACCCTTTAAATGCAAATGAATTGCATTGACCTTTAGACAGCAATCCAGACAAGATGTATGTATGAAAAACTCTAACTCGTGACTATTTTTTTCATATGGCTGTCTGCGTCAAATGTCCCAATGGGCCTGCAACATTAACATGAATGTTGTTTCGTGCCACTGAAAACCTTCCACTAAATCCTTTAATCAGCAACCTTCCGAATGGCTGCATTCAAACCTTTCTGCCTCAAAACATCTTGACAAGGATTAACAGCATTTCAAAGATGTGAGGACATTCAAATTAACATCGATATTGAAGATCGGGTTGAGGTATTGGCAATGGTGGGGGTTACATACCCTAAAGATCACATGCGCAATGTCGTCACTCAACATGGAGCCCGGCCCACTATGCACACTCAAGCAAAGTGACCTTTGGCAGGTCACTTAACCTGGCCCTGCACAGGAAACTGTGCCCTTAATACTGTGCAGGAAACTATGCTGTTGACACAAGCTCCTCTGGGTCCCTGTGAACTTACCCTGACCCCCCACTGGCTGGCCACCCCCCTTTCCCCCAAGGTCAGGCCACATCTAAACTTGAAATTCACAGTTGTGGTGTGGCAAATTCCTTGGCATCTTTGAGTGGGTGTAAAAGTGCTTTTTCCACAGAGCTGCTTGTGCAATGTGTTTTAGTGTGCTGTTATGTCATAAACAAGATTTAATACACAACTATTTTAAATTGTATTTTTGAACATTGAAACTTTTCAGCCTTTAGGCAACCGGTTTCAGTTCTTAAAGTGAAATAAAAAGTACAATGATTAGAATGAAAATTCAGCTGATCAATTCAAGAAAATGGCACTGTTAAGATTAATGTGATTATTAAAACCCTGTGGATAAAACTGGATAAGAGTCCAATGTCATTAAGTTCGTACATCCGCAAATATTGTTCAGGGAAAAAACTGTGCTTCCTGTTTCTCGACCTATATTACTTTGATGGCATGACCCAAAATTCATTCTTTTGGGGGGGGGATTCGAAAATGTGAAAATGGAATTTAAAAAACATTTACCTGCTACAGTTTGAATGTGCTGAAAATGGTTTGAAGGAAGGAGTACCCTTAATAGTGTTGTTTGTGCCATTTGAAACAAACTCCACCCGCCCTCTGTTGCTGTTGTTATTTGTAACCAGTTAACCCTTAGCAGCACTCTTAATCAGTAATAAAAAAAACTGCAAAACTGAAAAATATCCTACCTCCCTACTCTGGTTTCAGGTGCCATGTAATTGGAATCAGGATTAACTTTTTTGGCCTTATTAAACTCCTGTGCTTAAGTAGGAAAAAAAACAAACCCTGAGTTTGTCTCAATGCGTGATGACTGAACACACTGGATGAAGCTTCTTGTACACTTAGTGATTTTCTGTGTTTAAGCAGCATGGCCAAATACGGGTGATTCACAATAGCTCGCCTCCAAGAGTTTGCAACGCGTCGACCAAATCACAATGCGCGAAATCTGTCAACTATTTCCAAGTGCTTATTGGGTCGGCAGATTTCGCGTCGTGTGATTGGCCAATGCGTTGCAAACTCTTTGAGGTGCGCCATTGTAAATCGATCGTATTGGCCAATAACCAATCTGGTTACCATGATTAGGAGCCATTACTGGGGTGGTACAGGACACCTGTGCAGGCCGTGCACACAAGTGAATTACCTCTCCAACCAATCGGGTGTTGCAACTAATATTGGGGAGGATTAAAAAGCTTTTGGCTTCTCCAGACCCCTATGCTGGCTTTTCTGATGTTACCATTGACAACTAAGTTTAACGAACAGTAATATCACACTTGCTTTTCTTGTCATTAGTTGCATATTCATTTTTTATTCATTTTTTACATAGTTATTATTTATTATACTGTCCATGATATCTCTCAACATTTGTCGTGAATGTCGTTGTCAGCATGAATAAATAAATTTTAGAAATATATTAAACAAATTATCACAATGCATGCACTTCAAACCAAAGAATGTATACATGAGTGTGGTGTCACTGCAGCAAATGCATGCCTATAGATTAGTCCAGCCATGCTACCATTTTCTGTCAAGATTTCTTAGCCTGTCCCTAATCATGCCGTGTCGTGGTTACTTAACAAATTAATCCCCGCTTAGTCCTTTAGAAAAAAAATAGAAAAGCAACATGTCCTCAAAAAAACATGTCCTTAAAAAGTTGTTAAGGTGCACTTCAAAATTTGATTTCTAGATTATCTAGTGGATATGCAAGTTAAAATATACAGTACCATCAAGGACGTACATGGGTGTACTACTTGCTCACAGAGAAGGATGTGCCAATCAGATTAATCCGTAGGGCTTTTAGGATTTCGCAGATAATGAAACTTTCAGTGGTAAGATAAAATCTTACCTATTCAAATATTTGACATGGAAATATAACTTGTATGGCCAAGCAGAAACCTTGCATCGTCTGTTTACGAATGCCTGACTTTTGAAGTTGTAAGCTCACTCGTAAGTAAAATAGTGCTACAGGAACATCAAATAGGATACAAATATTTTCAGGCCTACAGTTTGGGATTGATTATGGAGACGAAGCTTGAGACAGAGGAGAAGTTGAGTATTAGAATATGGCCTCGGAAACATTGAAACACAGAAGCATTTTCAGCTGGTTTCCCGGCCCAACTTTGAAAACAAGCACAGCCCAACTTTGAATATAAACACAGAATCCATGCATTTTTCTCTACTCTAAACCATGATCCTAGCTTCCTAGCTTGTGTGCCAAATCTTCAAGATGTATTTTTTTTTTTTTTTGTGCCAAATCTTGTTGAAATTATGATGTGAACATGCAAAGGCCAAATTCTGTGTACATCATTGAGTATTTTGATGTCTCTTATTTCATTTTAAGGTGGTTGACTTGACAAAAGTGGCTTGCTCTTGCGTGCTTGTACCAACAACCATATGCTTTCTAAACTCAGGCATTCTTTTAAACTACCCAACCAGTGATTGCACGGTGCTAATGGATGAACAAGTGCAGCTTAAACTCTGACAGTCAATTAATTAACTGTCATCCAGTCCTAACATCTTTAGTAAAAACAAATTTGAACCTACATGTAAACATCCTAATATTTAACAAATAGGAAGTGTCCCTTAAAAATCTATCTTTAATAGTCGGTAGACGTAAATCCGTCAAATGATGTCTACTTATTGAGAGCAAGAAAAAAGCTAAAGGTGATTGCTTGAAAGTGCACAATATGAAGCGATTGACAAATCTGTCTGAAATGCAAAATTCAAAATTATGTCACATCTTAGGTGTGAAAATCCTAGTAGAGTGTACTAACGTAAAAACCAGAAGTTCTCTTTTTACGATTTAGATACAGTCACTCCAGACTGTGAGCAGTTTGGATTCTTTGCACCAAGGATTAAGAGGCATGTCCCATAAAGTAATTAAAAAACAGAACAATTAAGTTGTATCACAGACGAGATAGCCAGGTACAGAGATCACATGATACATGCGGCAAACAACTGAAGCCTAAAGCTTCAAGCTCTATATGGAGAAAACACTAAACTCGCGTAAACAACTCAAGGCAAAGGTTTAGGCTCGCATGCTTATCACGGTTGCAAGGGCCAATTACGGAGATAGCATGGTACGTGCGCAAGCAATTAAAGACAGAAGTTTAAATTCATGCACCCTCAAACTGGGTTAACATCATGATAATTGGCAAGTGAACTCTGTGATCCAATAGCTAAGATTGCACAATGAGTTTGTGGAGCTCGCTACGTACAAAGGGGTCACGATGTGAATGTATGGCAAGCACGTGCTTTGCTGCATGCTCATCTGTGGTCACAATGTGACAATCTGTGCATGCTCATCTGTGGTCGCAATGTGACAATCTGAGCATGCTCATCTGTGGTTGCAATGTGACAATCTGTGCATGCTCATCTGTGGTTGCAATGTGACAATCTGTGCATGCTCATCTGTGGTCGCAATGTGACAATCTGTGCATGCTCATCTGTGGTCGCAATGTGACAATCTGTGCATGATTATGAACAACAGCTTCTCCTGTACTCCAGACTTTCCTTAAATTTGAAGGCCGTTTTCCAATACTCAACTTCGGCTCCGTCTCAGGCTTCACCTGTTTTTTTACTGGCTGACGTTGAAGCTGTAAGCGCGGTAATTAGTTTAATAGTGCCACAAAACATCAAATAAGATGCAAGAGAGCCAGAAATTACAGTAATCCAATTTAATTTAAACGTTTCAGGCCCACAATCGGGGATTGGTTTTGGGAACGAAGCCTGAGATGGAGCCCAAGTCGAGTATTGGAAAAGGGCCTTAGACAACAGTAATTTCTGAAAAAAAAAATTTATCACAGGACTAGAGGACTAGGAAACTATAGTGGTATTAAGGGAATATGAACCTTGATCTCTACATTGAGACTTCGGTATGCCAGGACCAGTGATATGCTGGCAACTCATCTGTGGAGCGACGGGTAGAAGCTTATCTTGACAAAAGTACTGCCCGAGAGCTGAATCTAATTCCAGTAGACGCATTTTGTGAACTGAGTCTGTTTTGGGGCCTTCCTGTTCCCCGTATTTTCATGACGGGAGTCCCCTCGCAACCTTCGCTGTTCCGTCTATGTCTGGCCGTTTGTTGAAGGCATTACTTCGACCGGCATCCTAGCTTATTTGCATTGTCAATGAATTGTTTTGACCATCGCTAGAGTCATCCTCCGTTGCAGAGCCTGCCCAATTCCTTGCCCTCAAAATGCTCTGAAGATCTTTTTTCTCTTATGCACATATTGCATAGCCTAATCATTGTGCACTAGTACGACACACTTTTGAACAGGATTTCACTAATCTTATTATTGGATCCCATCGTTACTGTTTTTCCCTATATCAGTGCCATTTTGTTTGATATCTTTGTGGCATCTAAGTAAACTCAGGATTTTGGAGTAATTCCTAGTCACTGATACATGTAATTTTGAGATTTTTGGATTACAACAGGTTACACGTCCTGTTGTCCTCACATCACATTGGAAGTCACGTGTTAAAACGTGGCAGAGCACACTCGTATCCTACATGTATTTATCCAATGACATCCATTACATAATATGGATCTGTACAAATGAGATAAAGACAGAGTCATACACAACTGATCAACGATGAAGGAAGCATTTCAAACATTAAAAACTTATTGGACAAACAGCACTTACATCACGTGTCAAATTTGTTAGCATTATGCAACAGAACAATGTCATGGAAATGCCAATCACAGCAAAGTGCTTAGCTTGGATAAAAGATCTGCTTTGCAAACACGGGTCACCAGTCAAACTGCTATGTGATGTACATCGCAACTGACTGGTACCCTGTTATCTTTTGTTAAGCTCAGCGTTTCTTGCTCGATTAACACTTCCACTGTATCAGGCTTGAAACACTGTATATGGGCTATGTCCAAATGAACTGGCTACGGCTGGAATAAGCATACAAATCTATGGTACGGGAGCACAGCCACTAGCCAGTGGCATTCAAAAGATAACATGCACTAGTGTCTTCCATGATTATCTCTGTATAGTGTACCTATGTACCAGTACTTCTGCAAAGCAACCCTCACAGTTTTTTTAACTGTCCTTACTAATTTGCATACTGTCACATGATCCACGTTTCAGTTTACCTACTAATTTGCATACTGTCACATGACCCTATTGTATATCTTCGCATAACCAACATTTTTCATTATATCTCTACTTGTTTCCTCATCAGTACGTAACCCACTGAGGAACGTTGACAGAATATGAAGCAGATAACAGTAAATGACCAGCTTTAAGGACTACTCTTTGGGTGAAGGCCTGACATTGAACTGCATTGACATTTGACTCCTATTAGACGCCCTTTATTACAAAATGAAAAAAAAAAGATTTTCATCATCGAAACAGAAGTCTTCAAGTTCACAGTTATCAGTGTTACAACACTGAACAGCACCTAAATTCACGATTGCAGTAACTTGATCATTTGTGTACATGAATTAAAAGAGCGCCCTCATTTCAAAGTGAACGCGATTCACGAACCCCTATATGCTGCTTTTCAAACCAATTTTGGCTTGAAAAATTTGGGGACTTCATCTCAAGTATCATCCTCCAACTCTAACTCCTCCCCTCCCAAAGAGATAGAGAGAGCTAAAAAAGTGAAACTTCAGATTTTGTTCCCTCAGTCTCAAAATCACTCTCTCCAATTTTTCACTTATGGCAAATACAACAAAGGTCAGCGGTGTAACAGTTTTAGATAAACCTCAAGTTGTTAGTTGGGGGACACAGTCAAGAAACCATAGTGTCTGTGATGAGACAAGGAACGAAAATGTCATGACTTACCATTGGCAAGGACTTGAGGCATGATCCTTTCCACTAAGCTAAGGGCATGGCGCGGCATCTTGAGCATTAACTATTGAAATAATAACCAAGTGAAACATTTTCATGACTGATAATCACAACATCTTTAGCAATCTTAGAATCTTCCAGAGTCCTTTAAAATCTATCCCTGTAGGAGGAAGTGACGGTACATTCTTAATACTGGAGGGGGTATCAAGTTTCAATAAGCAACAGTGGCTGGGTTCTACCTGCCTTAATCCTACAAAAACCATTTCAGCTCTTTCAAATGTGTAAATTACATGTACAAGAGGTCAGTATGTGTTCTTCAAAGCAGGAATGTAGCTACAGCTAAGGGGTTTAAAAATCAAAAATGAACTCTACCCAAGAAATGTGAAAAAAAGGAAAGAAATATGCCATGACTTGCTATCTGATTATTTCGATTCATAAGCTGAGACTGAAATTGAACAGATTTATTTGAAACTCAGCACCACTTTTTTATCCAGGACAAAACTTTTCTGGCCATGCTGACTGTTACGTGACACTGACAGATGTTGGAAAGTTATTGACAAAAGAGAGTATGTAATCCCAGAAATATTTGATAATTGGCATATTTGGCTGGAAAAAAAATCAATGAGCTGGCACTAATTTTTTGAGTGTGCTCCAAATTCCTCACCTGAGTTTGTGCCAATCTGGCCATGGCTTTGGTGTACAGGGACGACAGGTGGTGCGTCTGGCACAGTGCCAAGGACTCTAGCAGGTGGGGGATGGCTGACGTGTGATTGGACGATACTGCATGGAGCTCCGACAACTCCAGTAGGGCCCTGGGGAAATTGTGTTTTGTAGATAATGGAGTTGATTGCCAAGTTGGCATGGCAACTCTGAGACCGAGTTAAGAATGATGCAACATAAGCATACTCACTGACTCACACATCACTGATAATGTGAACAATGCGTCTGTGCGGGGCAAGTAGAGGGCGCTGCGGTGCATACTCAGGCCATGTATAAACTACTTGGCAATGGCAGGAAACAATACATGGGTCTACGTCGGTCAGTTCACATCCACAGATCAGTGAGAGTTGGTACATATATCTTGTTCAAAACTGTGGTGTTCAATGTTTCTGCTTTGCTGGGAAGATGAGTAACTACAAATTGGTATGAGATGGTTATACATGAAGCAAGGAATTTGGCTCGTGTGCGCATGTGTATTTCCTATGACAAGCACTTTAAGCTAGGGCTGAGCAGGTTGTTCTCATATTTGGATATTCGATCAATTGTCCAAAATTGGAATATTTTTTTCCCAAACCAAACATTCCGAGTTGAAAATGGATGAAATAAAAAAGGGAATATTTCAGTTATTTTGGAGATAAAATGTGCTCAAGGTACTGCAACTTAATGCATATGCCCAACAAAGAATGAATTTTCCTTCATGCTTTTTGTTTCTGTTTTTGAGGGAATACTGTAGAACCAAATAATCAAACATTTGATGGAATGGAAGGCCAAATATGTGAATATTCAGTTATTCAAAATGACCCAGCCTTACTTTGAGCTTTTACGGCTTTTAAAATTCTGTAGGCCCAAATCGTGAATGCAAACATGGCTCTCTGAGGCCAGCAGGGCTTTGGTTATGGGCAGGTTAAGGTAAACGGGATTGAATGGGAAAATCATGGGCTTGTTGGTGAGGCATTTTTACCTGACTAGAAGCTCCGTCGTGAAGCCTTGCTGATTGTCCTTGCAGTTGTCAATGATGTGATTGGCCGCTTTGAAAGCGGCCGTCGTCTCTCCCCGTTTCTTCAAGAGAATCACTTTTCTGGAACGCGGAAAAAGGGTCAATTTGCATCAAGTGAATAATCAAGCATAATCAAGTATAATCATAACCAGGCAGATGAAGCTCGTCACATATTCATCGTAAATCCTCTACAAGCTACTACGCCGGAAGAAACCAAGCAGTGTCTTATTCTTTACTGTTTAACTTTCAACAGGCATCAAGCCCTATGTAAAATAACATTGGGTGGGTTATAAGTCCTCAATCCTGCAAAATCTAACAAAACCCTACATGTGGGATTTAAAGCATTTAGGAGGGTTAGGATAACAGAAGAAAGGAACAGGGATAGAGAATGAATCAAGAGAAACAGACGGCCGGGGACAGACGACAAACAGATCAGGAAAACTGTGAGTAGATCCTGCAAAATTCCACTTTGTCACCAACCTCGTCTTTTTTAGTTTTTTTTTGTATGGAGTATTTCTAGTACAATGCAACTCCACTTTCTTCTACAAAAGCATTCATTTTGTCTGACAAATGCTGGGGATAGGGTCTGTAGAATTTTCATTTGCTTCCCACGGCAAATATGTAAACATTGATCGTGGAACTCAAATGAAGTCACCGCTGGAGGCAAAGCCGAAATTTTGAAAGATTCACTGCTCCTCCAATAAGTAGAGCTGTCCAAGCTATTCAGAGTGAAGAAGGCGTGTGACGTGATAAAGCAATGATCTCAGTAATGACTGCTCAGTGTGACCGCAGGCCTGATTGTGCTCACCTATAGAGGGCGCTGGTCTCATTAATGGAAGCCAGGTTTAAGACGGCCTGCTCCGCCTGCTGCCATTTGCCCTGCAGTATGGCCCTGTCAAAGGACAGCTCCTGCTCGCATTCCATCCAAATCTGTGACATTAGCAACAATGAACATTCCTGGTAAGTTGATCACTGTGCAAAGATTGGCCTACAATGTAACAGAAATGCACATCTCTGCTAAGAGGCAGCACATTTTTATGGGAAGAGTTTCATTTTGGCTCAGCCCTGCAAACAGCACATGGGGAATGCCCTCATTTCTTCGTCTTTCCGTAATTTCAAATATTGAATGTTTGAATCTTGGAAAACTGGACTTAACTGACTCCCGGAACCAAAGATTTTGACGAAGCAGAGCCTCGAACCTCTCTTGCCATTGCATACAAGTCAAATGTCTGGCTCACTTTGGCGTGCTTAGAGGGCGTTGGGAACCGCTCCTTGGCCAGCCGCAGGAGGTCCCCCGACGCTGTGTACATTCCCTGGTCCCCGTGCTGCCTTGCCTGGTTGCAGATGGCCAGGCACAGCACCTCGCTCTCCGTAGTGATCAGGCAGTTGTTGGACGTGCCCCCCGGCAGGTCCTGGTGGCCAGAGTGGAGCAGAAGCTGATCGCAGAGTGAGGACATCGTCCTACGAGAAGAGAGATGTGAGATATTAATCAGGTCTATTAGTAGGGGTTCAACAATCAGTGCTGTAGGTAAGTTCATTACAAGCCCTCACACATCCATTAATGTCCTCACATCAATCAATCGATCATGAATCTTTGTGAAAACCACTCACCTGTACCCATACATCTGCCAGAGGGCGCTTTGCTGGGCCAAACTGGTCTGAACCAGTTGGGGCTGGTTGTGTTTGCAGTTGAGCATGTCGCTCTTGGCAAGGTATTCGAACACACTGGGAAACAGAAGCAGGTTGAGAATCGTAGAGTTCATTCACATTTGAAATTGAAATTAGAGTTCAAGCACAGTTTTTTTTATTGAAGTATGTTCTTCCACAGTGGGTCATTTTAAAACTTGTTCACGATACAGTGTCACATTCTCACAGACGCCCAGATGGAAATAACGTCACCAAAGAATTATGAGAGATTAAGAATTTTCGTGTCAACGTGACATTTTCTCGGCCATTTTGTCTTCCTCCACCTGTTGGGGTTTCCTGGAGATATAAATGCAATCATACGTATGAAGCCAAACCACGGTAGTTGTGTTTGTATTGCGCATGTCCAATGTGTATTAGACTTGCGTTGCAGTCGTTCATCGGCATATCAACAGTAAAAACACCGTCAACTTGTGTGAATTACGGTAGTCAAGCAGTTACAGCATAATGGTTTGTGATGCATGGAGTGTGGGTTCGAATCCTGGTTCGACAGGGAGGTTTTTTAAGGAAAATAAAGCCCGAATGTTATAGGAGCCTAATTTCACACGTGAAGTTTTTATGGTTGGTTGAGCATCTAGATGTCACGCATTGTGCGTAGTAGTGAACCGTGGTTTGCCTTCATGCATATATAGCTCTTATCTGGGCATAATCCAGGCCTCACAAAATCTCCCAGCTGAAGATTTTCATGTGACTGATCAAACAAATTTCTGGCAAAGAAGCCATCACTTGCCGTGTTTACAAAAGCTCCAATCTTGTGGTTTCCAATCTCAAGGAGAAGAGATGGTCACAAGTGGCCCCACTGTTCTTGAATTCCTTCAGGCATTGCACTGTTTTTGGTTTTGTGCAATTGAGGGTACAGTACATGGTGCATGCAGAGGTACACGGAAATGTACCGTACACTAAGCATTTTTGCGTTACTTGGCTGCCGCGTGGTGTGGTGTTAGGGACATTATGGCAATCATGTGATCTTTGGGATACGTCAGACAAGAAAAGTTTCAAGAAGGCAAAAACAGTCAACATTTTAGCCCAACGTCAGACAAAGATATATGTAAGTCACAAGTTTACATAGAAAGTGAATGGACTTCTCATTTTGGACATGATTTTAGAATAGACTTCTCATTTTTGACATTTTTAGGGCAAATGACTCACTTGGAAGGGTCGGTGGAACTCAGAGCCTTGTGCTGGGCAAAGTTTTGGATCCCAAGAGATGCCAAATACTAGAGAAAAAAAAACCATACAGAAAAGAGGGTATGTTTTCCAACAAAAATAGTCTAGAAGAGTCAGGTTGCTACATACAGTAATCGGTTTCACCTCTGGGCTAACCACAAGGCCACAGGCTTAAAGCTGGAGCCATACGATTTCGATCTTCTCTTTCGGTTGAGAAGGAGTGTGTGATGTGATAGTGGTGTGCTGGTGCTTTTGCAGGCCAGTATCTTTTCAGAAGCCTTAGACACTGTTACCTGGTATGGACGATTATTGGGGTAACGAAGGACTTGGAAACGTCTGTGGAAAAGTGTTTGTCTACTCACAGGCAGATTCAAGGCGTCAGACCGTGTGATGGACCGATCGAGGAGATAGGACACATCTTCCCCACTCATTTTCTCCAGACGATACAACCAGCCCTAGAGAGACACAAAGAAAGTGATAGACTTCATCCCAATTGTCCCAAATCCACTAAGGCCACATTTAATAGGGAGAAAGAAATGGCTTGGCAAATATTTTGTGCTGAGCAAAGAAATGAGTGGAACACCAGTCCAAAGTAACATGCTCTGTATGGCACTTCAGCTGGTAGCCTGTATTTGCTAAGCATATTATTTTCAATGCTTAAAAAATTTTGGTTCCTGCAAAATTTGGTTCTGGCTCCATTGGCGAGCGTGTAATAAATCTATCAATGCCCTTCCCTTAGTGACTCTCAGGCTGCATCCGAATCTGTTGGCTAGGGCTAGGTCTTTGCTCCATTGGAAATGTGGGAAACGTGCAGACAATAGACCTAGCCGTAGCTCTGAAAGCCCGTTTCGGACATGGCCTCAGTTTCTTCCACACACACCAAATCCAATGTCTGAGTTTTGGGTCACAGTTGAGAAATGATGTACATTTTGGGGAATTGTATTTGGAGCAAATGTTGGAATAAAACAGCCGGCTTTTTTTTCACCGAGAATTTTCAAGACTATAAGCAATAAACAGATTGAAGTGGTTCAACCCTAACCCCAAAGGGTGTATTTAAAATTGTATTGAAATTGGAGGATTTAGGACTGTTAGGGTTTATAGAAATGAAAATCTGTATTTTTGGCAGTTGGGTAAGAACTAATTTGCAGCAAGGCAAGTTGTAGGAAAGATGCATGACAACAACAGGCTAATGGTCCCTGGTGTTTCGGGCTGTCAAACAAGACCTTTAAAATTAAGTGCCTAGAAGAAGCTATTAGCTTTCTTAAGCCCAGTCCAGACACTAACTTGACTTTTACTATTGAGAAACGGTTGGGGGTTGGAAATAATTAAGAATAAAAGAAGTGGCCCTCACCAAGGCATGCTGGAGACAAACATTATCATTCCGCTCATGGGCGATTCTAATGGCTTCCTTCAATGCTAGCAATGCCTGTTCTCTGCAACGACACAAAAAGATTAACAAAAACTGGCACTTGGCCAATAGTGTGACTATTTAACAGTGTTCTGGTCCAAGTACTTTTAAAGTGCCAAGTTTACTACAAAATATTGAACTGGTTGGGAGTTTTAAAAAGCTAGAGAACATGGAAATTTGATGGTAAATTCACAAAGACAAGATAATGGGACAAATTAAAAATGTTGAATTGAAAACTTTGGAAGTACTTTTATCTAAGGAACTTGATCTATACAATACTCTGACAGTCTTATAGACACGCACGTTTTTCAGCTTTGTTCACGCTTAGACAGTTCAATATTTGGCAGTAAACTTGGTACTCAACAAGTAATCGACTGGAACACTGACATTCAATGGTGAGCCAAAGTTACCACTTTAAATTTTATATGCAGATAGATCATTTAATAACAAAAATTGAAATTATATCACAGATACAAAAACTGTGATAATGAAAATACATTAATAAAAACATGAGTGATGCTTAACAGTATTCCCATATTGCCTACTGTCTTACTTTTGTCTTCATATCCTAATTTTGTTACACAGAATAGTTATATTTTGAACACGTTGAGTTCAATATACCGCTTGACATTTACCTGTGGCCGAACATGCAGTGCATGCCTGCCAAGTTGAGGGCAGCATAGCGGAAACTCTTGCTGGTCCCCTCGTCCCGACCACTGTTGGCTTCGCCGGCCCTGGGCAGCAGGTGGTCGAAGTAGCTGTGCAGGCTGTCGGTCGCGCCGCAGAACTCACTGAGCCGTAGGCCATTCAGGTAGGACAGGAAATGCTACAGTTAGGGTGAAAGTTCACGGTACTGAGCACAGCAATCTCACCAAGTGGGATTTGAACCAGCCAGCCATCCAAATAAACATTCAACCTTCCAACTGATCAAACATTCCAATATTTTGTTCAACCAGGGACAAAATATGCATGTTTCTGAGGCCATCTACCAGTTTTCATTAAATGAACTTCAGCGAGCCATCTTAAGACTTTGAAATAAAGACGGAAGCTAAAGGTATCAAGTAAACAGATTAAACTGCAAATCAATGAAAAATTGCACCACTTTTCCCATCTGGGTCTACTGGTCTTCAGGAGAGAACGTCATCACTAATGCATAAAGTGAAGGAAATGCCTTGGTTAACCATATGCTGCCAGGTGCTTTTAAACTGCAGAGCCTACATACAGGCGACATTTCAACATCTGCGGTTTTCAAAAATCTTCAAAAATTCTTCTCTTTTTTCCTGAATGCCTAAACCCCATGGAGTGACTGTGTGGTGGCTACTCTAATCTGACAGACAACATCTAATGATACCAGAGTATTTCAGCCAGGCCTGCCACCTTGTAATATTTAAAGAGGTGTTTTGTGGTGTTACGTAAGCTTCTTTTGTTCCCGAAACTGGCACAGTGCACTGCTGGCGTCTTTTCAATAGGGGCCGGATTAGCGTGCAGCGGTATTGTACTGCTCATAGCTGGAGCACTGGAGCGCTTTTGTCCCCGGTGGTAATCCGCTTGCACTGAATGCCACAAACAGTGGTATCATCTTTCAAAACAATGACGGATTTCCTATTGACAACTGAAAAAATGTTGGCAATTCCCAGCAGCTGTCTTTTGTTCCCAGTACAGTCTATTGTGACAAGGCCCACAGCTCTTCCTCCAATTTCGGGCACCCCGGCAACCCAAAACCGGTCTCCCCGGAAGAGAAATAGGAGAGTTGATGCCTTTTTTCAGAAGAATATCTTCCTACATTTGAATGAGCTAGTACTGTATTCCAACAGTTTGTGGTCAATATGAAGCGTGTCTGAGGTCATTTGGGAACGGCAGCGCACGCAGGTGAGGTCTTGCTTTGCTCCCAAATAACCTTGCTACTCTGAAACACCAAACCCGTCCAGTGACTGTTGGAGTGAGTTTCTGCTTTTACCGTTTCAGCCAGGTCGGGATTAGTGTCCTTCAGGACAGCTATCTGGTCCTGTAGCGTGCTGGGATCAAGGGCCCTGGGGTCGTCGTTCTGCAGTAGGCGTGCCTGTTCGGCAATGAAGGACTCCGCCTGTTGACGGGTAAAAGTTCGCTCTGATGGAAGGTTCAGAGTGCTTCCCCTAAAGTAAAAGTCGGGGGAGGGGGGGTTAAGTGGGATAGAGGAACGGAAATGGGAATAAAAAAGAGGTACCTTTTGTCCTAAAGGTACAAACTAACAGGGGAAAAAATACTTCAGTTGACCTTGTGACCCCTGGAAGCTGTCCAAATTACAAGAAGTATTTTAATAACATTGTGCATCATCCTGTTTAGGCCTACACGTGGATTGGTTCTTCAGTCCCTACCTGATTCAATGGGTTTTACCCAGACTATTCCTCTGGGGTTTTCCTCCCACCTCTTAAACTGTAGCTACTTCTTATGATCTCTTTTCTACAAGTTTCTTCAGGTTTCAAGGTACAGTGCCCTAGGGCACTTTTGAGGAATCCTTGGTTCCATGAGCAGAATTTCACAAACGTGCTGATCAAGTACACAGGCTTGCAATTTTAATGAGACAAATGATAAAAGCTTTATTTTTTTCTAACCGCATTCACAAATGGATTTGGTCTGGACTTTCAGAATATCTGCGAGATTGGATCGAGGCATGTGAAAATATGGGGTCATGTCGACAGAAATGCTAAGCATGGACCTGCGCTGAGCACAGTTGCTTAGCCAAGAGAAATCAGGGTGTCAGTTAAACTGTCATGAGATGTAACTACTCATGACATGTTCTCAGAAGATTTTAGCTTGCGAGGTACTTTTTTTTTAATTTTAATAAAGCAAATCTGGCTCATCTGTCCCTTTTCTTTTTAAATTTTGCAGGGCAGTATGGGCCTTCACCTTTGGGTCAGTTGGGTGAGTCCATTTTTGGGTCTGGGCCCGTCCAGCTCGTCCTTGGTCATTGTGCCGCCATCGTCCACGGTGCTGATGTCCATCATGGCTTTGCTCCGTTCCCCCTCTGTCAGGTGACCCTCCAGCCCACTCAGGTAGGCCTTGAGGCTCTTGTACAAGGCCGAGACCTGATCGAAGGACAGCTTGTCGTAGGAGAGGACCATGCGCCGAATGAAGATACCTATTTACCCAAAAGTAGAGAGTGAAATTAGGCCCCAAAAGTGGTTAGACACAACATCGTGTCATAGTTAACACTGGCATTTCACAATGGTGTGCCCCCAAGAGTTTGCAACACGTTGCCCAATCACAATGCGCAAAGTCTGTCGACCCAATGCCCGTTGGGAAAGGGTCGACAGATTTCGCCCATTGTGATTGGCCAATGCATTGCAAACTCTTGGGGGCACACTATCGTGAATCACCCATATTCTGTTTTGCCATTATCAGTTTGTGATCGGATGTATACCAAGGTCACACGGGAACACACTCTCCAGGTTCACAGTGTTTATGTCATAAGTATAAGAAACCAGAGTTAAAACACCCAAACGGATTTCGCTTGTGGGACTTTTACCTTTATACATTTCCATTAGACACTATATCTGAACACAACCGCTTATGGTCCAACAAATTTAACCCTAACACTCCTCAGTCCTCCAACAGGTGAAGGATTGAGGAGTGTTAGGGTTAAGTTGTTTGAAAGGACTGATGTCTGACCATAATTTCACACTTTGAAAAGGAACAGTGCATTCACACAACTTGTATGGTATCACATTCCAGACTTGTTTCAGACAGAACTACAAAGCCCAGATAAACACAAAGAACATGCCTTAAAGACACTACACAGTATGAAACTTTGCCGGTTTCATAAATGACAAAGGTTAAAATGATCCAGAGACTGGGTTCAAGAACATCCTTTGCAACATTTCAGTTTTAATATTTACCCTGCTCTGATGTATCAAACTAAGTAATTGATTGTAACTTTGTGAGCAAGATGTCTCAAACTGATGCTGTTTCAGATATGATTTATAATCTTGATGGGCGGGGGTAACAATGCGGCACTTCCAACTGATGGAGCACCTATTATTTATAAATTTGATGAGAGTACCAAACATGGTGAGTTGTAGACATTGATGCGTTTCAATTCAAACTCCTAGAATTGGGGGATGATTTTAGCAGTGGATAATTAGACTGTGAAAATCTTGTAGTGTCTCTACAAAATTTGGGGTCTTCACACTAACCACTTATCAACAGGTCTGAGGTCCACACAGTTCAAGATTGAGCACTCTTACCCAGGATGCTGTGCCTATGGACTGGCGACTGCCCATTGTTGCTGTCCAAAAGCTTGTGTAGTGATTGGATGAAGTCGGCCAAGGCTGACAGCCCGGATGTATTGATGGAACTCAAGCTTCACAAAATAACGGAAGGAAAATCACATTAGACCCGACCCCCAAAATGAATCATACAGTTTCTCAACAATGGGCTAGGCAAGTATTCTTCCCATTTGTTGTTAATATTCAAATTAAAAAATGCTTGCGTGCATTATTTATGATCTGTTACCTAATTACTGAAATACATTTGTTTTGTAGGGCAAAAGGGAACTGATAAATCACTGAATGCTTCAACTACTGTAGAACTTAGAAAAATAGAAAAATCACAACATTATTTGCTTTCTTAAGATAAGCTGAGGAACAAATTCCATTACAATGGTAAAATTACAAATAACATCAACAAATGTACACTTACAATCAGCTGACTTAATTACAATGAAAATAATGAACACTTACGTCTCAAGTAAATCTTTGCTTAGTTCTTCATCAATTTCCTTCACTTTCATCAATAGGTCTTGGAATTCCATATCAGAACTCTAAAAAAAAAAGGTTGGAAGGAAATTCTCACTTTTTGCAGTAGACAGAAACTTGAGGGGTAATTCTAGTTGTCATTCACATTTTCTAACATGATGGCCTAGGCCTATCATTTTAAATTCAATTACTAAGGAGTAAGGTAAGAAGTTATCACCTGTATCCATTTTAGCATGGACTTAGCAAAATTTCGTTTGACCACAACACTCCAGCCACCCTCACAATCCAGTCCGCTTTCCCCGAGATACCTCCCCGCTGAGCCAGTCGGCCTCTTGTCACCAATCGCTGGCCATGGCGCTATTGTGGGCGTCACGGTCTCTTCCCGATCCCCAGCACCAGCCGCTCTGCCACTCCCGTGACTCGCGCCCGTCGTTCTCGTGACCAGAACTGGCATGACCGGCGAAGGAGGGTGGCCCGTCTCCGGTAGTTCTCTCTCCGCGTACACAGTCACCAGGACCGCCAGGGACACCTTGTGCGGTGTCACCCATTCCCTTGGCCTGGAAAGGCCTCTTGCACTAAAATTCATTGGATGGTAACCGACCTTTTCAGCGCGAAAGTGCACTTTCTTTTGGTCCGTTTGATGTGAATTCTCCCGCTCCGACAATTTTTGCCGTAGTGGACAAAGACAGGTTCCCAAGGCCCTCAATGCCTGAACAACGACACTAGCACGATTTTCCCGGCACCAGTCTAGTATATTACAACTCTGATATTGCGCCCTCATTTGACAGACATACAAACAAGGTACAGGTCTAGGTGTAGATAGACGTAGAATTCAAGAGTTCCAGGTTGCACTACATCAAATGCGCGCCCATAGACAACAGTGCAAAATCCACAGACACATAAACGCATAGACCGCCAGTCTTGCGCATAAAACCATGATTTTGAAAAGTATGGGCAAAGTGACGGATGGCAGCGCGTTCAGTGCGCATTACGCGCAACGCACGTACATTGCCTGTATTTGCTTACATGTGCTCCCAAAATGCGTTCTACTTTTTGCTCTCCAGTACTGCTATCTCTTCTTTTCAAATGTTGCAACTGCATTGTTTCGAATCCCCAAGGGACAGATAAAGTAAATAAAGGATATTCTTTACAATCGAAAAGTGACTTCATAGAATTTCATGGCTGGAATTCTTCAAGTTTGCGTAAATTCCCTAGGCCTATACTAGCTGAGGGGTGAATTTGCCCATAGTTTTGATTTTAGTCGGGCACCGCGCAAACCACGAAAATCCCCTGGAATTTTGAATAGGACCGGGCGGTCTATGCGTTTTTATGCATGTGGCAAAATCGGACCGAAATAGCGCCGCCTGTTGACTCTCTTGAAGAGGTTGGCCTTCGTGTATTTTATTGGAAATTCAAGATTATGGCCAGGAGATCCCTTTTCGTTTCAATTTCATGGGGGTCAGCCACGAAATATTTTTTTATTCGCCTTCCAAGGAAGATACCCCCCAAAACAGCAGTAAAAGTAAGCGCTCATTTCTGAATGTAGCTGCCCGCCTCTATCCAAAATAGGCCCACAATTTGGGGCTTTTTGTGAAAGAAATACCCCGAACTGGAAACTATCAGTCCCAAATTTGGGATTTGTATTTCTATGATGCCGCCTGATTATGGCGTGTCTTATTGTAAAAACCCCGTGGGATCACAAAATATTGATGAGCTCTCGCGCAGAAATACAACCATTTGGTGGAATGCACCCTTCAAACCAGTTTAATCACGAAGGAAGCTTCCTTCCTCCATGGTTTAATCTATTTCGCCAGATGTAAATAACTGCTTTTAAAAAGGCGACAAATATTGCCAAAATTAAACAATGTATAAAGTGAAACACACAACAACACAAACAAATCACGAAATCCAGATCAGCTCAGACAAGAAAGCCCCTGCCCTCGAGCGTCCACCACCGATCGACAACTGCCCACTGTAACTGCAGGCCTACGGGGAATAGGACGAATTCTCAGACGGCTTAGGCTTTTGGTGATATTCGCTTTGTTACAGTCTTCAGAAGTTTCCAAGGTTAGCCTAAAATGCTAATGTCTGTATTTTAGTCCTAACAAACATACGCGTGCAGCCTTAAATCGCTCCGAAATACCCGTAACTACGTGGTGAAAGGTTTTGCAAACAACACAGTGCTAGCAAAAATGGATGACATCTCTGATTACAACTTCCAACAAAACGCCCTAACTTTGTATGTCACTTACTATGCACACCTAATCAACAGAAAAAAAAGTAGAAAACTGGCTAGGTTTTACTTTGAATCGATAATTAGGTTGAAAATGTTGACCGTAATTTTGACGATGTTCTATATTCAGGAGGTGGTATAAGTTTAAATTCAACCTAGCGATTTCTTCGTCTCCACGGTAACTGAAAGTAGTCCAATACATTTAAGCTTAGAAATTGCCAGCCGAACTAACGGTGTGAACAACTCAGTCCCTTTCTAGAAAGTGATTCCTTCATAATCTGTGTAGGGCCTATGCATCACACATTTCGGTCAGTTACACATTTTAACGATTTCTGTACTTTATACATGTATTAAGAAAAGAGGTTGAAGAGAAATAATTTCATTTTTGGTTGTTTATGGCTTTTGTTTTACGTATTTTGGTCTCTTGCGCATTCAACACACCGTGCGAAGCTCTACCACTTCATGCCGTGGACGAAAATATCACGTATTCTACATGTACTTGGAAGTAATGTTAAACTGTCACAGACATCTGTAATAAGGCAGTAACCTTAGACGTAACCACAGGATAGGTATTTTCGAGCAATTTTCCGTTTAAAAAACTACAAAACTGTCGAGTGGGATGATGCCAAACTATTCTACAATTTGAGTGTATGCCAAGACACGGTTTATCTTCAGGACACTTCAAGCACAAGATTTAAATCTTCATCAGCTAATCAAATCATCAAGTCAGATTGTGTTAGACCGGATTGTAACGGATTTCACAACTTCCTTTCCACTCTCACGTTTCCAAAATGACTACCTCATTGCTGACTCGTGCATAGAGCCTATTGAAAGCAACAATCCTTAAATCAGTCATACAAGTTCCTCTTCGTTGGTCGAGGCTCTCAGGTACCTACAGTCCTTGAGTCTATGCATCATGTCCCCCAGATTCTGCGACCGGATATCCCTTGCAACCAGACCCGGCTGTCCAGAGGAAACGATGTTCCGCATCTCACTTGCTCGGCGGATTTCCTCGATGTGCAAAAGTTCGTTTACGGCCTGAGAGACGCGGCGCTGCTTGGCTATGCCGACGCCTCCCCCGCCTTTCCCACCGAAAGTTTGGGCCAGGATGCTCGAAGACACGTGCTTGGAGGGGTCAGTGGGGCTGGCCAGGGCCGGCGGGACCACGCTGCTGTACCGGCGGTGACGGGTCGGACTCGAGATTGGGGGCAGGTTGACGGAGGAGAAATGTTGCATGTCAGCCCCATCGGGCCTGCTGGAGCTAGCACTGTCCAATGATGGCACGAAGGCGTGGGTCGCTGGGCTCGCCTGGTGGAGTGGTTGTGTTTGGGTGCTTTGGTAATTATCCGATAGAAATCTCATAGGTTGATCGTACTCGCTGCGTCTACGAGCAGGCACAGGACTCAAGACTCCCGAAGATTTCTTACGTCTGAGTACTGGCGAGTGTGCACGAGAGAGGAAAACTTTCTCGGTGGGCTTGCTGAGAAAATTATCGTGCGAAAATGGCCGCCTGGATTCCCGGAGTTCCGGCAACGGGCTCTTGTCGCTTCCCTCATCACTCACCGTCACGGTCTCCCTGAACGAGAGATCCAGTTTCGGTTTGAGGTGAGTAGCTGCACCCTGAGGAGCCTTCTTAGGGGCGTTTGAAGAATCGGAACGGCGTGTCTTGGAATGGCGGCGCGTTGGTCTTGGACTGGGTGCAGTTGGAGGGTGTGGAACCAGCCCAGCGGTACGGGGCGAGCCGATGGTGTCAGAGTTAGGGCCCCTGGTGGCTACTCCCCCCAATCTGTTCCCCGAATCATTTTTGACCTCCTGCGGAGAAGTAGAGTGATCACCATTCGCCGATTCTCCCGTCTCCAAATCGGTGCTCCGACTGTTAACTGCTCCTTGCGGCCTCCCATCAGAGTGAGAGGAGACATCGGGTCCTTCCTCAACTTTTGAGCTGGATTGTGTCTGCTTCAAGTCCTTCTTTCGTCCTCGGTTTATGCTCACAGTCCTTGTTCTGGACGACCCCGCTTCCTCGTTACCAATTTCAGCTGCTTGATCAGAGAGGTCCTCTGACCGACCTTGAGGTTGATATTTATCCGGTGGTGGTTCTTCGGCGGCATCACTGTCCTCCTCGTCTACTTCGATCAGCTCTTGGTCTTTCTTTAGATCGAGCAAGGCGTTCTGAAAGGAGACGGAGCCCGTCTTGTGGATGCCACGGGAGTGAACACTGTGCGGCTGCTCGTCAAATCCCCAACCCTCGCTGGTCCTCAATGAGCTGAGAGAGTCCTCGAACTCCGTTGGCTTCCTCATAGCCATTCTTCACTTATAAACCAGAAACATGACGCTCTGTGAATTTGGCACAAAGTCGTAGCAGACATGGTCCAATGATTTTGTAGAGTTCATTGCGTATTTTTCTGTGCTGACAAAACTTTGCTTTTCTGCATTTTCTGATAAACTGCACCAAAATGGTTAACAAAAATCGTTTGTTTCAGCGACATGGTTGGCATAATTCTGGATGAACTCCGGCATAACACTGCGGTCGAGACCACCGTGGCCAAAACCTAATCCAAACACTGTTCATATCCTACAAGTTCTTAGAGAGACTTTAGAGCACACGTTGATAGCGAGGAAAAAGACACTTTTCGTCTAAATGTTGCTCACAAGGACTGTCGAGAAATGCCTGCCCTGTCAAGCTGAGAGGTGCGGCAAAATTACAATACACCACTTCGAGGAAAAAAACTTAGCAACCTTCAAAAGATTTGAAGTTTGAACCGTCCTGGTAACCGCGGATGTTGATAACGCAGTTTGCACTGCTGCAAGATACGCGCTCACTGGCTCGGTCTACGCCGATAAGGTTTTGTTTCTCCACCGATAAATGATTAATTGAATTCGAGTTCATCGCAAATATCAGTAGTGACCGTTATGCCCTGTCTTCATCCAGCCTTCAATAGTTGGTGATTGTCCCCAAAATGCTACATGCCGAGTGCTTGCACTTGATATAATGTACGTCCAACCCGCGGGCGTACGACGAAAGATATTCATCGAAGAACTCAATCTGTGCATTCGATCTGTCTACATAATTCTTTCAACTTTGCTCTCTGCGTGGATTTTTCTCAAGGATCGAATCTCAAAGCTCTCATGATGTACATGAATCTCTTGTGACGCGCGATAACACAATGTTATATGCCGAGCGTAGAGTCAAATAATCATTATCATGGGCGTAGCGGGGGTAAGGGTACTTGCCCTCTTGGGGTATAGATGGAGAAAAGAACACACGTGAAAATCGCAAGTTTCCGTGAAACCGCCTCAAAATCGTCCACCTTCTGCGGTTTACAGGCAGCTGTGGTCACTAAGTGTAGAATTGTACGCGCGGCAACTGTACACGTTACTCATTAGCAGTAGGCCTACTTGTTGAATCTAAACTGTGGAAATCTGTGAAGAAACAATTCTCGTCTTTTGCCTGGCATATTAACTTAAGGCGCTGAGGCACCATTCTCACGCATTTCATACTGACCTTAATGGTCATATGGCTTTAATGTCTACTGTCTGCAAAGTACCTGACAAGTCTACAAATAAACGGTGTTTGGGACAGCCGGTGCCGTCGGCACAAGATGGATGACGTGGAGAATCCTGTACTTATCACCCGGCCGCTTTGTTCGACAGCGCCACGAGAGGGGCATTTATCTAGCCAATCGTGACAGAGATTCCACAATAAAAGCTGCGGGCAATCACAATTTCTTGTTTTTATTATTTTCTGTCGAGATCACCTCACTTGTCGGTATCATCATAATTAATAGGTACCCCACAGGGATGCTCCAGACCAGAGTTACAGCAAGTTATGCAAACATGTTAGCTCCAGTCGTTGGACACCACTTGAACAATACACCGTGTTCACTAAAGCCAAAATCTTCGACTGCTGGCTAAACAGTGGCATGGCCAGGCTCTTCTGGGGGGTGGGGAGAAACAAGAGTTCCCACGAGGGGGGGTGCCTATGCCACAGTAGATAATTACAATACTGATTTTCAACTAACACAGGGACATAATTCTGAATTTCACATGGTAAAGATGAGTTCAGAATCGGTCGGGACGTGATAAGTGTACTTAACTGCAAATGGCAGAACACAAAGGGAATAAGAGCCATCACGCTGTCCTCCGTGTTCAGTCTGTTGTCCTCAATGGCAAGAGCCGCTTCCTTAATGGGGGTGTTATGCCTAGAGCTAACGGGTTTTTAGCTCTTTGGTTATACCGTATTACAGGGCCGGAGCGACAGGAAACACTGTGCTATCTAAATCAGTAGTGAGTGGGGAGGGTGTGGACAGTGGGGTGGTGGTGGGGGGGGAGAGTTGAGCTTGATGGAAGGTAACCATTGATAAGCTTCAAGACACCCAACAAACAGTACGGAGTCTCAACTCCTCTAAATAAAACGGCCGCCATTTACCAAACATGACAAAATGTATACTTTGAAAAAAAATATTAGAAAGAACAAATATCAATTAACTTGTCACATGTAAGTTTATTTGAATTTGAGACGACATTCTTGCTATCAAAGCAAACCACATGCAGTCTCTTTGTAAGTACTAGGATGGAAAGGAATACAATTTTAATTGTAAACAGCAGCAGACTTGTCAGAGTTTCATTTGCTGTTCTGTTGACACTCATACTCACTGGTCAAAAACAGTCTATTAAACTTATCCCAATTCTCTCAGCATATTTTGCACTTTTTTGCAGGGCCAGGAAATCTTTCTCAAACCTTCCCATCCACTGTGCAGGAGACTACAAATAACATATCCTGCATTCATAAAGACTGGGGATATTAAAGTCCCTTGTAAAGCAACAGTGGCTGGGCTTTACCTTCCTCAATCCTACAAAATCCTACCAAATCCTAATGAACCTCCTTAGACGATTTTAAAGGACCCGGGAGGGTCCAGATTTAATATAACAACCGGAAGAAGTTTATTTAAAATAAAAACAAAACTGTAAATTTTTTGCATATAATTCAAATCAAAATATTTCCGGTAAATATTTTATAATATTGCACAGAATCACTGCGGCGTTGTGTCAAAATATTTGCCAATGATTTCAACAAAAACAACCCGCTGGTTAAAATGATTCTATATTTACAACTTCAGACTCAAAATTCTTTTTTTTTTTTTTTTAAGCAGTGCATAAGTACAAGAACAATGTCCTAACATATTTTTTTTAACATCTGGATTATGTTAAAGGATATTCACAAGACCCACACTTTAGTTGATGTACTGGGGATTTGCCCCACACGTAACTACAATACAATACACACATAATGTCACAGGAAAGTGTAACTAAAACCTGTCTGGAAGAGTACCGAATTGTAACGGGCAGACTGAACCAGAAAGTGCAGTGCAAACAAATGGAGTATGCATGTGTGTTGTATCATGCCTTGGTTTTTTTGTCTAATGCCTTCCACACACATTATTGTGCGTGTGACGTATTTGGTACTTGCTGAGCCCCGAGCTGAACCAAGAGAGGGCGCAATTCTCCTAGCAACAGGGGCTCCTTTGGTTGGAAGTGCACTTTGCTGGTTCACAGACGACTATGAAATGCACGCATTACTGGCTCGTTGCTACCAACAAAAATGAGAACTCCCGACCAGCATGGCTCTTTTTCAACTGATGAGGGGGTGCTCTAGCTTGAGGTGGACAGCAGACCTGTGACTGTCTGGAGACTGGGCCCGTAATGCAAGTCAGGGAAACATGCAAGAAGCCGAGATGCTAATTTGAACCAAGACATTGATGCTATAAAGAACCCCGTTGAAACATTCAAAATCCCACACTGCGTGGGAAACCCCTTTCCCATTTCCAAGGGGCCAATCAAATCCCACGTAAAGTAACAGTGGCCGGGCTTTAACTTCTCCAGTCTTACAAATCCACCAAAAACCTTGTGGTGGATTCTGTAGGATCTGGGAGGGTTAAGGGGCAAGACTTTCTGTGTCTGTCTGTCTCACTTGGCCCCACTGTGCTCTTGTCGCAGGTCATACTTCTTGGCTTTTACTCGGTAGAACTTTGTCCCCATGGCCACCTTGAAGCGATTGTTTGCCTGGCATTAAAAAAAACAACAATTGACACAAAACATGCTTGAGGCTCAGATCTGTGACAATAGAGTACCAAAGTGTGACGTCACTGTGAACCAGAAAGTGCAGTGCAAACGAATGGAGTGCGCGCGTGTTGGTTCACGCGCTGGTTCTCGCGCTAATGCCTTTTACACACTAATTGTGCGTCTGACGTATTCACTTCGGTACTCTATGTCACAAAACCTACACTCAACATTTTAAGAGGAAACTGTGCCTACAAAAAAGTTAACCGTATCCTGTCAAAACCTCTTCCCTGTATACGAAATGGAAACATTTTTCAACTGTTCAAGACAGAATGAAATTATAGTTTAATTCGACGAGCATAATTAGAAGTCACTACTGCAGAGGCACGACGATTATGGACAGGCAGTACGCGCGTGTTACATGCCTCTTCAACCAAATGGTGTCGTGCTTGATGATTTTCTGACCTTGATGGTCAGAATATCTTCTTCTTTTTTTCAGTCTTCCTGAACTCACCTTCTTGGCTTGGCAGTATTCCTTGTCACTCACCCTGCCAATAATCCACTGTCTATGGTATCAAAAGAGGAAAAGACGAGAGTTAGCGCATGTGTGAATGGACTTGGCTAAGGAAGCCACTTGCTAGCCCGCTGTAGGCACTTTCCATAGATAAATGTGTTATGCAGAAGCACCCCCTCATCGGTTGAAAAGAGCCACATTGGTCGGGAGTGTTCAATTTGTTGGTAGTGATGCGACCGAGACGCATGCATTTCCCAGTCGTTCGTGAACCAGCGTAGTTCAGTTCCAACCGCTCAGAAAATAGCGCCCTCTTTTGCACAAGGCCTGTTGAAAGCCACAGCCAAGCAATTGGCAGTACTGTTCTCAGAACACTATTCAGTTTAGGAAAATATTGCAAAATTACGGATACACTGTTAAAGCAAAGGCTTTCGAGGACCTTCGAGAATTATTTCTCTCCAAATTTTTCAAGATATGGTTGATAAAACATGTATGGAGAACTTTTCCTTTGTCTTCACACTAATCTAAATTGTCAATTGTTACTTGTTCCTTGAGAAAGATTGTACTAGGATTGACATCTGAGGCCTATGACTTTACTGAATTTTGTATTTTACATTTCTACAATTGTCAGTCTTTAGTTATGTTGATTGCATCAGATGATTTGCTGTTGCTAAGCAAAAAAGCTTTGGCATATGGTTAGCATAATGCTTCCTTTATTTTTGCCTCTGTATCTAGCAGACCTACACAGTAATATACGTAATTATTTGATACGCATTTGCGTAAGGTTTCCAAAGGGTACCGGACTACAACACTGTTTCTGTACCTCTTTGGGCCATCAGAGCCGTGGCGCTTGAGGTCCAAGCCTGGTAGAGACTCCGAGTGGACAAAGTAGAGAGTCGGCTCGATGCTGAAGACGACGTAGTTGTCCCTGGGCTCTTCAAAGAAGATCAGCACCAGATCGCCGACGCTGATGCTGAAGGGAAGAAAAATGGAAAAGCCCCTTGACCCACCTGCAGTCATAACAATCACAGACATTCAAGGATTCCATTCACTCTTTCCTGCAATACTTTCTACACAGGCCAGTCACCAACAGTCAGATCATAATTCTGGTTGGTACTGCGGCCAGTCAAATTCTATCAATTCGATTCTATCAGGCAACAATCAAATCTCCGCCTCATTCTGCGGTGCAAAAATCTCAAGAAATGTAGGCATTTTTCTTCAGTGAGACAGCCGACATTCCTGTGCCCCCCCCCAAAAAAATTGCAACCGTCGCCCTATTCTCAATAAAATCCCTCCACGTCAAACTGCTAGTATGTTCCACACTTACTCAACAATGGAGATCTTCTCAGCTCTGGAGGTAGACCCTTGTGAGACTCTCAACTGCATCTGCACAATGCACAAGGCCAGAACAGAGAATGATTTGACAGTTCATACACAGTTTCTATGCCTTAATGGCTTTTACTGTTACCAAGCCTAAATGATTGGTAGGATTGCGTTCAGCACTGACACTTAGTACAACAAAGCCTCAATGCTGATCTTACTGTGGTTACTAAGCCTTAATGCTTACTTAAGTTGTGAAGCCATTATGATCAGTGCATTGATCACAAGAGTTAGTGCTAAGTACATGTACTGTTACCAAGCCTTAATGCTAAAGCTCATTAATACATGCATGTCCTAGTGAAAAATAAATACGCTTACATATACCAAATAAAACCCAGAGAGCCAAATTTGTCGAGACAAGCTTCCTCACTAAATAATCTGTGAAGCTTCGACTGAAGATGACATCATTGTTTGATTTCAGAACGTGACGATTTAAATCACCACAAAACCCTTGACCCCCACTCAGCATGTTGGTAAAAAAGGAGGGGAAAGTGAAACAAACTGGGACAAGGAGGTAAATTTTGAGAATTCTGAAGAATTGTGTATATTCATGGGACCTTCAACCCCAAGGAGCTCATCTCACCACTTGGTGTTTGAGGGTGGTGCACTCCTGCTCCTTTGATTTCAGCAAGGCTTGCAGCCTTCCCTCAGTGGCCGAGGAAGCCTTCATGGTGTCCCTGGTAACCAAAAGAAAATAACAAGATGATGAGGCTGTAAAGGGTCTGCTCTTTCTGTCAGAGTTATTTTTTTTTCCTATTGGTGGCTGGTTAAACTGGTTGGCTCTCAGGCTGAAACAGAAAGTTTTGTTGCCTGACAATTCCCCTTCCCTACTGTTAATTTTTCTACTTCAAAGCGAATCAAAGTGAACAATGTATCTATTGTCTAACACCTCTCACCGTTCGCTAGACACCAACAGCTCGGCAGGGCTGGAGCTCTTGCTCTCGGCTGCCTGGAGTTTCTGCTGCAGCTCCGCTAGCTGGGTGTCCTTGCTGACGATGGCATCCTGAAGACTCTTTTGAGACTTATGCGCCTCACGAAGGGCGCTGGTCATCTCGGCGTCCAGGTCTCCCTTGTCAGTGAGTAATTTCCCGATGGTATCTGTCAACAAAACATTTACATTCTTGAAGTTTAAACTGATATGATCTGACTGCAAGTCCAAGTCTACTTTCAAAAAGGGGTTTTCCTGATTCACAGAGTCCACAGGGCCTCTTCTTAGAAACACCCATCCAAAAGAGGTGACTTGCCACAAACTTCCACTTTTTAAAATCTAGCTGGAGAATTGAAATTGACTGAAAATGCTCAAGGATTGTTTGGGATCCATACACATCCATACCTTGCTTCCAAACGTAAGAGAGGCAAACCCAACACTGTAATGCCACTGCCACATGTGTGTCTATTGACTACATAAGGTCTGTGAGTGCTTGTGCACATTCCGATGAAAATTGTGTATATTAAGTGCCATTTCAGGATAAACCAAGGCATGCAATTGGTGTGTTGGCCCCATGGGATGTCACCAAGGGGTCATACCTTGATTGCGGGTCTGTTGCTCCCTGAGCTCTGCCACAGTCTTCCTCAGGTCTTCAATGGTCTTGTCCTTGGAGGCGGCAACCCGGGACACCGCCTCATTGAAAGTCTGCTGCCGCTCCGCCATTAGGACCATCTGCTCCCGCTCTGGGTTGGAAACCCGGGGGTCCAAGTTGCTGGGTTGCAGCCCTGGAGGGTTTCTCTGCACCTCCTCAGAGGCCAGGGTAGGGCTCTGCTTTTCTATGACAAAGGACTCTTCCATTTCAGCCAACCCGAGCTGGCTGGATTCAATCAGCTGCTGTTGCTGATTCCTTGCTGATGTCAGCTCCTTCTTGATCTCTTCTACTGTGCAATTGTGGGCTTTTCTGATCTCGGCTATTCTTGCAGTCAGGGTGTCAGAAAGGACAGAGATTTTGCTGCTGTGGTGTTCTTCCATCTTTGCTTTCAACTCACACAGCTCCTCCTCTTTGACCTTGTCTAAGGCTTGTCTCAGGTCCTTGCAAGCAGCCTCTACTCTCAGTTCTGTGGTTTTTTTAAACTCGGCCAACTCCTCTAGCTGGGTGTCTTGGAGTCGGCGGAGCTTGTCTTCCACCTCTCTTTGGTGCTTCTCCGTCAGTTCTGATCTCAGGGCGTCCAGACACTTCTCATTCTCGGCAGTCAAGTGCGCCCGTAGGAGGTCAATCTCCTCCTCAGTAGTCTCTCTCATCATATGCAACGCATCTTCCTTTTCCTTGATGGTGACAAGGAGGTCCTGGATCTCCTTTTGCTTTCCGCTCTCAACCTGAGCCACCTCCTTACGTGCTTCCACCTCCATTTGGCATCGCAGTGACTCAAGCTCCTTGCAGCTCTTTTCTCTCAGGATGGCAAGCTCCATTTCCCTCTCGTTTAATCTCACTTGAGTTTCTTGACAATCCTGCTTCAGGGTTTCAATTTGTTCATTCAATCTCGTAATTTCCATTTTCAAATGATTGCTCTCCGAGTCCCACTTCATTTGCAGGTGCTGAGTTGCTGCATCGACAGCTTTTGACTTCTCTCCAGTCACATGTAGTTGGACTTGATCACAGACACCTTCAATCTTTGAAAACCACGAAATTACTGATTGACTCAAAGCAGTCCTATCAAGTGTGATGGCTTCTCTCATTTCAGAACAATCCTCCCTCACTTTGGCAATGGCAGTTTCCAGCTTTTGTGCAACAGACATGATTCCCATGTGCGAGACGTTCAACTTGTCTTGGTACAGACTCTTTTCGTCCTTGGCCGATGCCAGTTCTGACTCTCTCTGCTCCAACTGACGCTGCACCTCCTTTAATTTCAGCTGAGTCTCCTCCAAGCAGGCCTCCTTCATCTGAAGTGTCTCCTTGAGTGACTGCACCTCTTTGATGAGCATCGCTGTTGAGCCTTCGGTGATGGGGAGCTTTGACGGCGACTCTGCATCGTCCAGAGGGCTCGTCACTGCTGAGTAGAAATTGGGCTCCTGAGTGGGCAGCAGAGAAGCAAAAGGTGTCTCCCCACGGGTGGACATGTCCAGGGGACTCAGGGCCAAGTCTGGAGTGGCAGCTGCCGAGACAAAAGTCTCAACATGCTGGAAGGACAAGGACTGGGGTGAATCGGGACTAAGTGGAGTTGACCTTTTACTGACTTTGCTGGAGTCCACAGAGAGAAATTTCTTCCCATTCGGCAGGGAGTCAGGTCTCTGTGGTGGCCCTCCCAGCTCCTGGGGCTCTAGGGATGCAAGCTCCTCTGTAGCCTCCCCCTCCGCAGGCTCGGCCTTCAAGATGGTGATCTCAGAGTCATTGGATTTCACTTCCAGAATGTTCATACTCGTCTGGGTTTGTTCATCAGAAGAAGCTGCTCTTAACCTCCTTGGAAGATAGGCAGCTTCAGTTTCCAACAAGTCCTCCTCCTGGAGCCTAAAATGAATCACAAAACCCCAAGATATTGGAGACAACAAAAAATGCTCAGAAACTTAAGTGCAATTACTCAGATTTACCAGTTTAACTGCCAAAGAGTTTTATATTTAGCATGGGCAAACATTGTGAGAAATGAAAGTAAAAATTTACTTAAGTATGTGGGACAATTCTGGAAGCTTTTCTCTAAGAGCAATGACGTCTTCATTTGTAATGTCTGGCAGTCTGGTGTCAAAATCCCCTGGAGGTGTTGTCTGTAAAGAGATTGCGGAAAAGGATACTTAAAAGAATGATTCGCAAAATATGGATATACAGGTATGTTGGTTCAATGAAAAGAGAATATGTCTACAGACTAGTGGGGATTGGGAGAAATAAGTGGATAGACATAAAGGCTTCTAGGTTTGTTTGAAGACAACAGGGTTGGAACTACAGGACAATGGGCTGGTCTGAAAACAGGTGGATGGTCCTACAAGCCACAGGGCTAGTTGGGAACCAAGTGTATGGGTCTTGTGGTCAGTGGGCTGATATGAAGACCAGTGGATGAATCTTTAGATGATTAGATTAGTTTGACCATCCCTCAGGATCTAAATCTCAAAGAACGCATGCATACATACCGCAAATAAAGGTGGGACTTCCCCAATCAGTCCAGGGAAGAGAACGTTAAGGAAGTGACGCTCCATACTGGTTGCAAACTCACGTCTCTTGGCCATCTCTGATTGGTGGCTTGCCAAAGACGACTCACACACCTTTCCCGCCCACTAATACAGGCAACACATCAGCCCACATATTTGTGTAAATACATTTCGTATTGAGGAATAATTGCTTTCGGCACCTTCTGTTGTGCTAAGCTTGGAGCTATGGTTTGTCGCTAATTTTGTCTGAATGGGTACTGTGGGCCTGCACATACCCTGTCGAATTTTGACTGAACGGGAACTGTGGCCCTCTCACTTTTGACCATCACTTTTTACCATCAAGAATTTCAAATGAGTACTGTATTTTTAAAGATTATGTAATGATAGAAAGCTTCCCATTGAAATGGTAAGTGTGATAGTATGTAATATGTAATAAATACAATAACAAGGACAATCTTCATTCTTTCTCACCACAATGATCCCAGCAGCCAGGGATGGATATGCAGCATGGTGGTGTGTGACTTTGTTTGAAAAGGTACTGCCTGTCCCTACTCTTTGTACTGTGCAATGGGCCTGCTGTACCCAATCAAACAGATTCACTTAGGTAAAGACCTGTTGAAGTTTGTGGGATTGCGTACTCTTGCAACAGGAGTACTGTTGAAGTCTGCGGGATTAGGAACTGTGAGGTAAGAGTGTTTTTCCAGAGTGTTGAAGTTTGTGTGATTGGGGAAGGTTGGGTCCAGCAACCCTTGGGTGGCTAGAATTAATGAAATTGGCCAGGTACGCATGCTCACACCATTCCCTAGACTCTTACTATGGGGTCATAAAGTGCCTTCTATAGTTCTGCCCCGACTCAATAGCTCAATAGTTATACAGTAAAATCTTGATACCTCGAATCTCTGGGGAGTGGTCAAAAAATTCGAGTTATCTGAAATTCGAGTTAAAAGAAGGTCCCAATTTCTTTTGAAGTTAAGTCATTATTACGATGTGTATCATAACATGTACCTATACGCTGATGCATAGTTACCGTAAATCTCCCTACGATGACTTTTGAAATGACATTGTGGTTATCTTATACTTTGGTGCCACAAGTTTTTGATTATAGAAAGACACTTTTGCAGAGGCTTTTTGTTGTCAGTCGGCTGATAAATAACACATTAAACGTACTGTAAATCATTTAAACTGGGTACCTTTGTGTGGCAAATCTTTCTTTTGCGTTGTGCATGTGTGACACATTGTGGTGGTCCCATTTCTGATACCACACTGCAACACAGCACCTTGCACATGCGTACTCGGGCAGGGTTTCCCGATGAGTCAAACAACTTTTTCATCACATGAGGGTGCGCCTTTTTCGCTTCAAAAAAATTTCGTAAAAACTAAAATGCTATTGTGTCTGTTTTTATTTTTTTTTCTTCGTTCTTTATTTTCAAACTTTTGTTCATTTTTGGGGAGTGAGATTTGGCTATGCAAAAGCTCTGTGGTGCAGTCACATGGTTGGTCCACTGCGTGTGAGCATGGTGTGGTTTGTGGCTCTAATTGGGCAACCATCGCATGGGCGAGCACAAGCAGTTGGGCCAGACCATTAGGCCAGACTTAACTTCCGTACGTGTGGCGCGTGCCGCATACACAAAGATCTCCAATGCATTGCTGCAGCCATCGCAAAGAGCCATCAGTTGGCCTGCCGACGCACTGGCTACAATGGTCCCACGATGACAATTGGGCCAATTCCAGCAAGTCGGATTTAGCGGTCACGGTGTCGCATGGCTTACGTGTCTAGATTGATCATCATTGTAGCGCGCTTGCAAGTATTCCGGTGTGAAAAGACGAAGTGTGCGTGTCAGAAATGATTCATAACTTAGACCCACGTTCTGTTTGCGCTTTCTGGAAGTATTTTGGCGGCGGTTTCTTTTGGATCTGCTACACAAAAACTTCGAGGTAAACAAATCCAGCAACGTGAGCCGTTTGAGTTACGGATATGTTTTTGTACATAAAAGCCCATTCTTTCGGCGAAAATTAATTATTCTTCAAGTTAAGCGGAGTTTCGAGTTAACAGACTTTGGGTTATCGAGATTTTACTGTATTAATAGGTCTTACATAAGTGTTGTTCTCAATGCTGGTCCAATAATATACAACTATTTCAAGTACTGAGGGCATGATTACATGATACTGCTACGAATGTTCAGAGGAACAACTTACGGTGGTGAAGTGACTGGCAAAGGTCCTCCGTCGCCACACCTCCACGACAGCAGCGGCATAGAGCCTGGGGGCCGAGTAGACTTGCCGCACGATCTCCAGACGCTTCCGGAGACGTTTCAAGTTCTCGTGGTAAACCAGCATTTTGCTGTGCACGGCGCTGATCTGCTGCTCAACATACATGATCCACCTGAGCATGGCAAGGAAACGTCAAATGTCACCATTATTACAACAACGGTTCAAACTTGGATTTCAGGTATCAAAATTGTTAGAGAAATTCTATTGAAGGTAACCAGCACTGTCAAATACCAAGTATTGAGTACAGGTTGACACTAAGAATTAAACATTCCCAGAACAGGTGCGGTGCTTGCATTCTGCACACTGGCCAAGTTTGAGTAAAATATTTCAATTGGGTGCATGTCAGGACAAAATTCATCAAGATAAGGCTCATTGGGGGTGCATAGATGGGTGGGATAGTGGTTGTAGTTCATAAAGACAGCTCATCTGAGTTGGAAGAGTGGATAGACAGATGGAGGTTGAGTGTGTTGGAGGGTGAAAGTTGGTGGGGGAGGGGTCTGTAGTTTCTAGACATCACTTACCTGAGTCTAACGTGGAGGTTGTGACACAGCTCATCTTTGGCCACCTGGCAGCGCCGGCTGATCTCGGCCAGCTGGCAGTGCTTCTTGTACATCACCGTCAGCTGCTGCTGGTGGCTCTTGCAGAGATCTGGCAGCACCGACGCGTCATTCAGGTTGCTGGCCCTGGTCTGGTTCTGAACCATTCCCTGGGGAATCACAAGAGATAAATAATGCATCAACGAATTTAAGAATAAACACATGACACAAAATGAGGCACTGAGCAATGTGCTTTCCTGATGGTTGTCGTGTTTTGCCATTTTTGCCAGTGGCTGTATAATAACCCTAACCCCCTAGGGAGTACGTAAAATTGTATTAAAATTGGAGGATTTGGGACTGTTAGGGATATTGTCATTTTGCCAATTTGTAAACTTTTGCTATGCTTGTAAATGATTGTAATTTTTGCCACTTTTATCAACCGTTGAAACTTTTGGCCATGTGTGCCATGGTTGTTATTTTTTGCCATTCTTGTCACTTGCAATACCTGAGCCATCTCTGCTTGCTCTTGAAGCACCTTATGTGCACTCGTAAGGAGCTGCTCCAAGCCAAACAACCTCTCTCCAAGGCCTTTAACCTCCTTCATGCTTCCATTATTGACAGCATCTGAAATCAAAAACAGAGCTTGCTGTTGCCGATAAAGAACAACAATCCACCATATTGACAATGATACTCACTGCTTACGACCAGCTCTGCCGGTGCTAATTTTCACCCCACACCCACATACAGAGCTCAGCCAACTTTTGACTGACTACTGTTTTTGACTTTTGCTTCTAAAGTGACAAAGGGGACTGTCTGGCTTGCTTTTCCCAAAGACTGATCCATTACACCCCTTCCACTGGGCACATGGCCAATGATATGAGAATCTAGTGCAATGTGGCATACATATTCCAGATGCAGTCGTCATGGGTACACATCAGACCTTATTTGGTTTGACGATCTTATTACTGTAATTGGCCCAAACATCACAGGGTGGGACTTGCCCAATCAGTCGACAGTCAGAATAGGTGAACAATTTATTAGCTGAGGTCTGGCAACAATAAAGTGCAAGGCTGGCAGGCCAAGGCTTGGTAGAACTCTTCAATGGCCAAGGCCAACTGGCCAAAGATCTTCATATCCTAAATCCACTATCATTCTCTCTCTTCCCAGCCACGTCGTGTGAGCACCAGATGGACATGGGAAGACACCTGAACTCACCGAGGGTGGTGTTGATTTCAGCCGACATGGCGTCAAGAACCTGCTGGGTGAACTGATCCAGGCTCTTGGAGCACTGCTGGGCCATCTGCTGGAGAGTGCTTCGCTGGTCCTATGAGATGAAATAAAATGGCCAAAGAACTCAAGAGGTCTGTGGCACACAGATCCACTTGGTGACGAACAATGTCATGAAAATTCACTGTTGGCGCTTGTGACCAGCAAGCATGGCAACTGGCATCTTCCTTCAATATGGTCATGGACAATATTACACTAACTACAAATTTCTTCCCATGTTGCTGGTCCATTACACCCCAGCGACAATTGCCCTGTATGTATTAAGTTCGTGTCGATTACACTGCTCTTCTCCAGCAAGCGGGCAGCAGTGGCAACTTCCTTGCTGTGGTCATCATTGACACTGTCACTGTCAATGTGTCATAGTCACTGCCACTGATTTACTTTCATCCCCTGCGTTAGCATGTGAATTGCTTTCTGAAGTTCATCTATAACTCCCCATTGTCACTGATGCTGCTGCTGTCCAGTAATCATAGGAGCAGAAGCATCTTCTTCGGTAGCAGTTTCTCTGTCATGGTCACTGTCATTCTTCTTGTCCTAGTCACTGTCTACTTCATTGTCAATGTCATTGTCACTACAATTCTCTTACCTGGCTACTGATCCACTGCATCAGGGTGAGCGTCTCCCCCTCCGGCAGAGTGTCCCTACTGATGATGTTGCTCTCATCCAAAAGACACGGCAGCAGCGGTGTCTTCTCTAGCAACCGCAGCACGTCTCCAAACTCTGCCAGCTGGGTCACCAGCTGGGGGCGCTCTTCCAGGAACTCGGTCATGCTCAGTCTGAATGCGCTGGCCCGCTGCTCAAAGGCACTAGAGAAACCAACATACTCAATGGATTATGAATAGAGTTGGGAAACTCCAGCCGAGGGCTATTTCTGAAATGGGCTTCTCTTGGACACAATCTTCCATTAGTCAAAAAAATGAACCCTTCAATGATTGTACTTGAAATGATCATTCTTGCCTTCTGTTTTATAGGAATAAAGCCTAGTGAATATGATACATAATTGAAGTTGGTTGAAGGGCAAAGCAAAGAATTAATGTCCTTATTTATACTGAAGGACCAATCAAATTCCTCCATGGGACAAAAATGTCTCGTCAGTGGACTGCCAGCAAATACGGTAGCAAATTCAATGTTAATTTCAGTCAAAGAATGCGTGCAACATGTGGTGGGTGAAGAGCCATCTCTTCGGATTAGTCTAAGCAGTCTCAAGACTTTATATAGAACAGGGGAAAGTGGGCAAAAGTTAACTAGCCCTTGCAAATGATAGGGGTGACAACTACCTGGTAATGTCTTCGAGATTGGCCACGACTGCCATCCAGCCTTGCTGTTGCAGGTGCTGGTCGTGAACGAGCCCCTCACATAGGCGCAGGTTCTCCTTGGCAAGATCGTGGAATTGCTGCAGAGAAATTAAAAATACTGCTCTAGACAGCGACTCAACACAACTTTGTTTTGATTCTTTTGGTTTTTTCCTTTACACAGGCCATCCTGACAAGGTTAAAAATGATTTCAGGTGAGAGGTCGCAAAAATATGACGCCCTGGAAGTGCCATCTGCCTTGTTGAGATCCTGACATATCTTATTTCAGGTTGATGAATTGATGGAGGCAAGATGTCGACATCCTGAGACAATCTATCACGAGATGCCGATAACCTGAGATAATTCACCAAAGGCTAGCAACATTCTGGGATAATGTGTTAAGAGGTGAACCCAAAGTAATGGGTTAACTACTTAGGATGCCAATCTCTCAATTTCAAGATGTTGTCAAGATGTTGGCATCTTGTTTTCAACATGTTATCATCCCGAAAGTCGACATCTTACTTTATGGATGTTGTGGCACTGGCGTGATGCGCGCGGCATGGCAGCGACAGATTTCTCATGTGTTTTATTGAACCTTATGTTTTTCTTCATTTCTTTGGGAGCCGGTTCTAACTCGGAGTCGCGGTCCTTAGCTGGAGCCGGAACTGGCTCTGAGAATTCTGGAATCACGCAACACTAATTTCCTGCACAAAGGAAGAGTTAGGGATTCAGGAGGAATGCTTGCCTGAATGCTTTAGAGTGTGAAGGTTTATGAAGGGAACCTGTTAAATGCACAGTACCAGCGCGAGTTGAGTGCGGGCCACCACGGCGCTGTAGCTGTGTGGCAGGTTCTTCAGCCCCTCCACCTGTAGGCGGAGCTTCTCCTCTTTGCTCTGCAGCATGCTGGAAGTCACCGGGGGCATGGCCGATTCGATGGTGCCCTTGCTAAAGAGGAAGATGGGATTGGTATCCTGCAAGGGGGTTTAGGGAACAGAGAAGAAATCATTGAGTGTTATGTTGATGCATCAATTTTCCGATCTATCCAACAACCTGAACCAAGCTATTTTTGTTCATTTTCTTTCACAGAGCTAAATCACAGTGGTTTTCAGGGAAATACCGCAAAGGCCAAATACTTTAAATCTGGGCCTAAATTCACACAGCTGGTGAGCACAGAAATAAGCTAAGCATATAAACCATTTGCTATAATAATCTGATAATGCGAAAGTGGGTTACCAGACAAAATGCCATGTACGGTGTATATCCTGTGACTGGTTCCCAGATGACTTGCACTTAGCAAAGAAATCTGACACGATATTGTTTCTGCAAAGGACTTTTGTCAACTTTGGCATTGGTCTTATCACCAGCAATAAATTCCTAACAGCACTGTCAGCTCCATAAGTACTTGACTGTTAAGCAAACGGATATCCTGTCACAAGAAAAACCCTAAAAGCTCAGCCCTAATTTTGTGTTTTTAAAGCACTGGTGCACGGCTTACCGTTCCAGCACTGTAGCTGCAGACTCTGATGTGGGGGTCCAGGCTCTGCCCTCCACTGATCAGCAACACCTGCTTGTCGATGGGCAGCTGGTACTCGGCAGCCAGGGTCTCCTGTAGTCTCTGCACACTGGACATTGCAATGAGTTCACTGCACGTTATCAACAAGGCACCCCAAAGACGACACCCACTCTATATACACACACCAATTCACCTTCACAAATGAGGTGAAATAGACTGATCCAGTAATCCCTATCCACTGAGCATGTGGGTATAGGGTTTGATCGGTCGATCCACATAATCATGATTTGCTGATGGTCCATCCTATACGGAATCACAGACTTTATTTTGCTTTTTTTGAACAACACTTGACGAATATTGAACTTAGGAAGAAAAAGTGATCTGCTGAGGGTGGGAAGAATAACAAATCAAGCCACATGATTTGGCAGCAATGAAGCGGCCGACCAACAGCAGTGATACAGTGACATGTTCCAGCTACGCAAGACACACATATGCACACACCTGTCACAACTAAACCACAGCTTAACAGTGATAAGTGGGAACAATTTGGGGTGTGGGGCATAATGGATTGGTTTTAAGAATGATTGTCTGGGTGTTATTCTGTTGATAGTACCAAGAATTAAGAATACGATCACTAACAAAGCCTCGGTAATTTCTGGGCCTACGCTCTGGGACCATCATACCCTGAAACATCAGATCAATGGAGACCATTTTAACATTCAAGAAACACTGAAAACTCAACTGTTTTAAATATCGTGCCGACATGCTTGACTCTGACTTTTCTAAAATTTAGTGTTGCTCAGCACCATGATCTAAATGGAATGGCACTTTTTAAACTCTCACTATTATTATCGTTGATAATTTCAATAAATCTCTGCAAGTACACTACTCAGAGAAGTTGAGAACTCTGAGTCACCACACCATCTAACTCAGTGTGACTCAGAAGAGATGCCACTTTCAAGGCTCGTAACACTATGTGTTTTTTAATCCAGTTTTTGCAGTGAAACAATGGTCAAGATCCCTTGAAGTAATGTGTTGAGCTTGCCAATGGCTAAGCTTCCTGTGCATTTTGGTTCGACTATTTTCAGAGGCGTGGGATTGCATCTCGTTTTCTTTGTACGACCGTTCTTGCTGCGTGACTTGCAAGCTGATAATATCAGGGTTGATGCACGATATGCGCAACACTTTTTTTGTGTGTGAAGCGGTTTATTTCTGTCATACGACCTATTCCTTTTTAAATATTTCATGACAGAGGAGGTATGCAGCTCGTATTTCAACCCTTCAAACCAAAAACAGTCATGCAGCAAGAACAGATTAACAAAACACACGACATTATGACCCTTGAAAATTGCATCACTTCTGAGTCGCATGGAGTAACACGGAGAAGTGACTCAGAGTTCTCAGAGTACAAGTACACCATGTTTAGCTTTATTAGTTGAAACCCAAAATGTTGTCATTTTTGACGCATGTGATCGGTTACCTTTCCATGGTCAATGCCATATCAAGTGTCAGCATGGAACCTGTGTTGACCATAAAGACATACAACATGGTGGATTCAGCTCCCTACTTGGGTCAGAGTTCAAATTTAATGCTGGTGACAGTCTGTGGATGACAAAAAGAAGCATGATTAGGAAAGGTTACGCCGATGGAAACTCCAAAATTGGAGACAGTGTAAGCGACCCAAAACTTGAGAAATAGAAAAACATTCAGCAGACAGGCACTCGAAACCACCTGTCCATCATCTTTTCTCCAGTACAGCACAACTACACTCTGACAAACAGAAATATATGGTGCCTCATCTCTGTTTCTAGAGCCTAGGGATTGGCCTGGCTAGGGCTACATTCTCTCCACAACCATGCGGTTATAACAGAGTAGCAATCGTGGCAATGAAATCATTATCGTGGAGTACCCAAAATTCGCGCATCTAAATTTCTCGTCGTGAAACTCTTCAATGAAATTATGCACTGACGTTAATTTACTGTCGATGATCGATCGTCACTTCGACGTTGGTTTTTTTTTTTATAGCTATGTGCAAATTAAAATCTTTTTCAGGGAGAATTTGGGAAAAATGTCAACTGAGCAAAAGCTTTACTTTAGACTAAACGATGAACCGATTAAATTGTTTAGAACTGTTTGGGATTAATGATCGCTGTTCGCTCATGATTGGGCACTAATGACTTTGATCAACTTTTGCTAAATATAAAAATATGGAGCCAGAAAAGTACTGTGCACCTTACATTTTGAAATTACCATTGGCGACAACGGGCGCAGATTCAGTGGCACTGTATTTTGTGCCTTTTAGAAATACACGTAGAAAGAGAAGTTTTGTCATAATATCCAGATAAATTACTCATATTAATGCTAATTATGATTTGAAAGAACAAAAATTCATGCCTCACTGTAACTTCAAATTAAATTGAAAAAAAAATTAAAATCTAGGAGAATGAAAAAGAAAGTGATGGGCAGTCAAGCTATTGCGAATAAAAGTGTTTTTTTCCCCCTCAAACTGCATCATTAAACCAAACTAATTAATGCAAAAAATAATTCCTCATTCAAGAGACATTAACTGGCAGAATTTTCAGAAGTAAGGCATTACTGATAACGTTACTTCATATGTTTGCAATGTATGTACATGTACACGAATTATGGTTTTACTAAAGCCAACATGGCCAATCCAACTTGTACGCAGACTAGACGACATTGTTCCTGTTGCTTCAGTGACATCCAATGTTCTTCATAATGTTATTCCATGTAGGACTGTAGTCAAGCTTCAACTTCTTAAAATGAAGCCATAAAAAGTTGGTATATTTAAGACTAACGTTAAATTTTGGTCGAAGTACTACTATACTAGGCCTAACGTAGGCAAGTGCTTCTTGGGGGCCCCATCCACATGTATACACTCTGTGAAAATGTTTCAGTAGTGTAATAATTTTATGTAGGCCTAGCCTATTATGCGGAAAATAAAGTGAACTTAACTGAACTGAATTATGGTGACTTGAGGCTGAGTCGTAGATATATCATATCACACTATATATCATATCACTATTCACTCACCGAGACAAAATTATATTTTATTGCGGGGTAAGAGAAGGACTGCATCTTAACATACATAGGGAATTTTTACTTCATTATGCCATTACTCAGTGATATTGCAGAAACCACGAATGAATGAATCACACATTACTCCTTCCCGACGACGACGGACTTGCATTTCTACGCCGTTTTACAAGATCCCCAATTTGGTAGTATAGAACCTAACCCTCCAACACTCACAGACAATGGCGCTACCCGAAATACAGAGCGGAGCCATTCTACTAGGAACTTTAGCCTTTTGAACACTCGACAGTGTCTCCACGCGGATTCGCCCGAAATTTAAGTAACCCTTAAATTTGAAGTTGTTAATCGAAGTATGCCGTCTACTGCTGCAAAAATTTGCTAAAAATAAAGCAAAAATTGTTTTATTATAAATTTACCTCGAACATCTTAGGCATACAAACGATTTTGATTTCAGCGACAAACCAATAATAGAACGAAGGCGAGTATTGGAAAACGAGCACCTGATTGGCCAAATGAAACAGCGCCCCCTGTTCCACTGAACCTCCAACTCCTCCCCGACAAGAAGTGCAAAATCTTCGTAAGTATGGGGGATCAGGAGGGACAGGGGTGCAGAGTATAAATTGGCACGAGCTTGGATCTAAGAACTGATGGTGAGAAGCTGATTGGAGCAAAATCAGGTTGGAAGGTCTTGTACTTGTACCAAAAAAATAAATAAATAAAAATATTTTTAAAAAGTAAGAAATGTTGTTGAAACTATATCCTCGTTGAGTGCAGCCTTTCATCATTGAGAGCGCCACTGATTCACAGCCATTTGTAAAAGACCGACAAACTATTACACATTTCTGACGAAAATGATAGGTATCTTTGTGTACTAATCCGATACCGCTTTGCATTCTTACTCGGCAGGAGGCAATTTCTTGTCTGCGCCCGCATCACGCGCGTGGATGCCCGCCAACGTTTACACGAGAGCGATCCGATTACTGCCAGTAACACCAACTACATGTAAATAGATTTTCCTTGGCCACTTTCCGAACCGTCTCAAAGAAGTAACTGGTCTCTAAAAAGCTAATGTAATGAAACAAAAACAACTGGGGCAATCTCCTTGTTTACCCTTGGGTTAGCCCCGCCATCTGTTCAACTTGCACGTATGGAAAACTGTAAAGTTACTGCTACGAATACTGGCGGATTCGTGGTCCCAGACTGGGGGCGGGGTAAATATGGAGCCAGCCCCCCCTAAAAAGATACACTTTTCCCCTACACAAATTAATTACATGTTTATAAATTAATGAGAGGAACGCTTGTGGGGAACCGTTCCATTCCTATGTCTCTCAAATGGCCACTAAATTAACCTCACAACTGCCAAAGCCTTTCAAATAAATTATCGGGTCTTTTGGCCAAGAGATGAACAGTTTGCTGCCCCCCCCCGAAATATCGTTCTGGATTTGCTCTTTGCAACATGCCATTGGTGCACATTGAAGGTACATGTACTTACAACCATGATACAAGTTAAGGGTACGTCAAACAATCTAAGTTAGCCCTAGCCATAATGAACCCAACAAGTTTATGCATGATTCCAATGGTCCCCAGGGGGTTAGGGTTAATTTAAAGCAGAATATAATAAAAAGCACCAGACAAAATGTGTCGGTGACACAGTTTAATCAGGTTTGTTACTCTTTCGCATCTGGTCGGCAAATCAAATAAACATAAACTTTCCATCACAAAACTGACATTTTTTGTTTTCTTACAATAAAAAAGTCAACCCTTAACGTATACTGCGTACGGTATACTGTTTGATGTTCTTTATATTTTGGCGACTGTGTTTTTGTGCATGGGAAAAAGTTTGTCAAGGGTGGTCGGATCCACAGAAAGTGCGATTCCCCCTAGCAACATGCAATATCAAATTTATTTTCCAGATCTGCAGGCTTTGTACAATTATTTTTTAGTATGTGGTTTCCAAAATTCCATTATAATATTTCAAGATGACCGAGGTTGTAAATAAACCTAAGAACTTTTCGAACTGGGCACCCCATACTCTCAGATCTCGTTAAAGTTGTTTATTCTGCGATATTGTTTATTTTAACTTTCATTTTGTGTAGTGCTAGTATTCCAAGGTCCCGTACACAGAATATCCCACCGCAAAATCGGAGCAGTTCACACGTGTCCACATCCGGAGAGAGGACGAAGGCGGGAAATCAGCAGCGGGCATTCGGCACAACTTGCTACCGACAAAACAGTCTGGAAGCCGGCCCAGCAGCATGCAGGCAAGGGCAAAGACTTAATAACAAATCCGTTGGAATCCAACAAAGTTGGATGGTTTGGGACAGAGTCGACCGTCTTTGGAAGCATGTATGCAACTCCCTCGGCAAAAGGTCTGTGAGGAGTTCCACAGTTTTCTCTTGTGCTTATTTTTGAGACGGCCCTTGTCCGTCGTGTTTAAAAAAGTTCAGGTTTTTTCGACCCCTCTGTTGCCTCAAACCGCAATATCACGCGACACGTGTTCTAAAAATTAATTCTGAAGTTCTTCGAAAAATGTCGGAAGTGAGCTTGGGTAATTATACCCTCCGTCCTTGAAGTCGCGCGGGAGAAAGACAAACTTAACACCCCGAAGAGTTCATGTTTTCAACATTAATGTTGACAGCCTTCACCCACGTGATGAGGAATATACGGCGGGTGGCCTAGCCGCGGTCATGACGGATTTATGCAGCTATAAGCAGCCGGCCTAATCCACATAAATACACCAGATCGAACGTTCTCACGCATTAGGGACACGCATTAAGAAGTTTAGCATTACCTGTTGTGTACATACCCCGATCAAGTGGAAGGAAGCGTTGAACCACGGTGGTCCTAGCCGGGCGGATGCAACAGGTACATAAACTAGTTGCGTGGGAAACCACTTGCTCTGGGGGGTAGTGCGTCGTGGGATTGTCCATCCAGTCAAAAGCCAGTACTTACACGCAAGGTCAGCTGGAAAAACTGAATCTTATGCCAGAAATCACAAGCCGACGCTGGAGATTCCTGGGTTGATTCAGTCAGCGGTGTTCAAAGCTGGGGGCTTTTCGTAAGTGTTTCGTGGAAAAAAAAGATTTGTTTGTTTGCATCTTTCTGATCGTTTGCTTCGCCCATCCCCTAGCCCTGTTAGCTGGGAGCAAGGAACTCTCTCCTTGCGGACTGACGACTGTGGACGGAACATTGCACCTCATGCAAGACATATGCACGTTGCTCCACCAAAAATCTGATAATGTGGACAGCAGTGAAGCACGAGCAGGGAATGTCACCACCTGCACCAGCAAGAAGAGGACATGGGACGACTGTACCAGTGCAGGACCATTCGTTCCAAACCTCTTGGGCCTCCGAGCGCCGAATGACCGGTGGCAAGATTTACTGCACGCGGTCAAAGGTGGTCAGCTGCCGTTTATCTCGGTTAATTCTCCAGTGGCTTGTTTTACTGTCTCACATGTATTCCACGCAAGGTTTGTCTGAGTTACGGCATCAGCTGACGGACACAAGCTTAAACACGGTAATAATAGATGTTAACCTTTGTATTATTTTTGTCATTTTTTTCCCGATTCCTCCTTCCGCAGATCATCTTGCACACTTTTGTGCATTTATGCAATTTTATTGTGGGTTGCAAAATTCAATTTTTTCCTTGTTTTCCTATAGTTGATAGGCCATGTCAACCGACTAGTCCTGATTGAACGTGCACGATTTGGAGTAGGGCTAGGGGTTGAAAAATAAAAAAGGAAATCAATCACAGTAATGAAATCTTGCCCATGCAGTGTCATGGCCTTGAGGGCTATTTTTTAAAACTTTTTTAGCCTAAAAAAATTAGAATGTAGATCGAAAAGTACATTTGACGTGGTATTAAATATGCAATTATTTACTAAATAAACAGTCGGGAATGGGTTTGAACGAAACTTAGATTTTCACAGAACTAAACATCACCTAGAAATTTCCTTGTCTATGTATTTCTTTGAGGTATTTACTTTTACGTATAACTTACGTAAAGCCCAGAAGTCGTCCTTAGATGAAAATTATATTGGGCCGACTACTTTTGTTTTAATGTCTTTGGCCTCAAGTGGAAATTTTAATGCGTTTCAACGGTGTGTCAGTGTTATTTCTCGTCTTGTGTCTCGGAAACGAAAATTTCTTGCTTCAATTTTTGTACGTGCATGGCCCCCCATACTATAGTCGCTTCATTGGGCCGTGGCCTGGCCATGCGCCCCAGACAACTTCCTTCCACCGCTGTTGCCATCCGGTGACGTAATGGTATGAGCAGACCGTGGGAATGATCGCAGAGGAAGCAACTAAAAAAATGATTAGTATACATATAGGTAATATGCAACTTATACCTTGCCCAGAGGGGATGTGTGAGTTTTATATATGAACGTGAAATTGAGGGATTTTTGTTTGCGGGTCAACCTTGTTCGACTGCAATGTGAAATGTAGACACAACTTCCGCCAAAAAGTCAAGAGAAAATATAGCAGAGCTCGTCCAATACTTGTAAAAGTTGTATAAGTGTGGTTGTATATGTTGGAGTTGCATCGTCAAGGACTCTCTTGAAAGATGTGTTAATTAAATACTCGTCGAGTTGCATAGGTGTGCGATGCATGACCGATGGGGATAAAATAGAGATCATCCAGGTGAGCCTTGCCTCAACAGAAACAACAGATGCCGTGTAAATCTCGGGCCTAGTGAGTGAGTGAGGCACATGTTCCGTCGCAATTTCACAAATGACTCTCTGTCTTACACTTTCTCGTACAAATGCCGCAAAGTAGCATCATCTGGATGATTGAAACTCTACGAAATCCACTATTTTGGGTCATAAACCCCGAAATCCACTAAAAAAAGAACTTACGAGAGATCACACCTTTGATGTGAACCTTAATGCGTTTGATGGGTCTCCGTTTGGCCGGAAACTTGGCAATACGCGGAGGCTGAGCAAAATTTTATCAGTGGTTTTTCTTTAAAGGTTAACGCCCGTGACTTCTGAATCTGACCTAGGGATACCGTGTAAATTTCAGATAATCAGAAGAAAGGAAACCAAACCAAAACTTGCCAAAGCACAAAACAACCCCAAAATGCTCCACCGCTGAACCGCGACTTGTTTCGAGAAGGTCAAAACTCGTCCTCCACTTGACGAAGTGTTGCGAACAATAATGTAGTTCGATCACGGTTTGACCGTGGTCCTGGGGGGAAAATACAAATTTGAGTCTGGGAAAAGATCCCTGTCAAGCAAAGATTGACCCACACCATTGACAAGAACATACGATAAAATCAGTGCTCTGAAACATGTAATTGCCAAGCTTTTGGTAACTGAGCACCTTCTTCAGGGCAAGCAGATTCAGTTCGGCAATTACATGTTTCAGAGCACTGATTTTATAGTATATTCTTGTCAATATTCTGATCACGGTGCTACGCAACCCTTCCATATTTCTCGATCCACATCACCTCCAGTTCCAACTCAAACAAAAAAAATGTGTATAAGTATGAAATTAGTTTATCATAATTATTGTAGCGTATTTCAGTCTTTCATGCGACCAAGCTGACGCCGCTCTTTTCTTCCTATTTTGTGTCAACGTGGTCATAAATACATTTACATGGACCGGGGGGGGGCATGAACGGGTAAGAACCCTGAAAGTCGTGACAGGCTGGCTGCGGTCCGCTTCGCTCCAGGGGACACGGTACTCAAATACCATTCCGCGTGCCTGCATTGGCGGCTCGTGTGTGTATGGCGTTTTATTGGCTGTGTAATTGTCCACCCCCTGGCGGTTTAACGGCCCCTGATAAAAATGTCCCCACACCCTTCGCACAGAAATGATTTCCAAGTAGTGGAAGCATGTTGGAAGGGATGTTGGTAAACAGACTCAAGGTTCACTTTGTCTTTTAGAGCTGCGATTAAGTGGAATTCCCAAATGTTGTTCCCGTCTTTTTAACCTCAAGTCTTCATTTTTCAGTTAATTGTGTCACTCATGTGTTAATTTCCGTGTCTTAAGTTTCGTATTGACGAAGAAAAGACCAACACGGTATAAGGCCATCTTACTTTTATTTTCCTTTTCAAAATTGAACGTTTATAATTCATGTTGTTACTCGAAACGAAGCCAAAGCCACGACGAAGCCTTATGTCACAAAGTCAGAGACCCATATCGGCCGTAATGTTATATTTCTTAGTGTGTACTGATTTCAGTTTATGGATCAAGTGTAAAGTTAAAGCCAAACGTAGTTCAGACTAGAGGCAAGTTTGATCACGGACCAGTAGTGGTTAGTTCGTGACGTACGTAGCGCGTGACTGGGCAGTGAGGTTGAAGAGTTAACGACCCCAGTCAAACGTTGTCAGGTCATCAGACCGAAGGGGAGAAAAGGTGGCCGCAGGAAGGCAAAACTAGCTAAAATAAAAGTGAAAATGGTCGTTTACGAGTGACATACGGTTTTTCCAGCATTTTTCTCGTAACTGCAGGTCCTCTGTGCACTATGCTATTGAAAACGATTTATGGCAACCAGCGATGCGACCAACCTCGATAGGCTCCGAATAGCTGACTAAACTAGTCAAATCATTGTCGACTAGCGTGTGTTCGATCAGAGTTCGTCGAACTATGGTTAACTGGGTCCTTGATCGAACTTGCCTTCTGAAGTTATCGATCACTCGCACGGGGAAACTCAGAATAGCAAGCTTGTTTGAATTTTGATGCATAGCACCATTTTCTTGACATATCCAAACCGTCGTTTCTTGACATAACCAACATTAAAACCCAAACGCGCTTTCCGGATGCCATCAAATAGTGAAACTTGTTTTTAAATAATCGTTTTCCTTTTCTTTTTTATTCTGTTTATTTTGATTTCGTTTTGAACACAGACTGCGGAGACCAGCAGTTCTCATTGGAGTGAGTACGGGCTATGGAGCGCTTGTAACGGCAACTGTAGTTACGCTATTCAGTACCGAGACAGGCGTTGTTTAAATCAAAGGTAATCTCTCTCCGACTGCCGACGTTAGTGGACTAAAACAGTATACGAATCTTTTGGGTTTTGTTATCATGCTTAACGCAAATTTGCCATACCCCGCACAAAATTTAATCACATTTACAATAAATGTTTAGTTACTTATAAACAAAATGCCAGACGGCAATGAACTTAAGGCCCACAGGGATTTCTGTAAGGAGTGTTTTATTGGATCTTCAGGAAATTTTGTAATTTAACAATTTTCTTTATAAAGAAAAGCAAAAGAACAAAACGGCTGCAGATGATTCTGGCTTTTTTTTAAATAATGGATATAACCAACATAATTTTTGGATTTTAAATTTAAAAAAAGAACATGGAAAAATTCTGAATGCTCTTTGTGCAGCAATTGCCCTGCTATTGCTTATGACCTCTGACTTTATTCTTCACTCACAGAAATGATTTCCTTGACTCGAGGTTTTGCGTGGGTTCCGCCAGGCAGTACAGAATATGCAGAACGGAGCTCACACAGGTGAAGATGACGAATGCCAAAAATATTTCAGGCGTTGGTTTTACTGTCTGTAGCTCTATGGTTTTACTCGAACGTCCGAGAAAAAGATATTATATATCATGTGCATATAATGGAGAATAAACACGTCGAAGTTAATGAACATGGCATCACTTCAAGACAACTATTTTCATCTTAGTTAATTTAAGAGGAAGCTCAGTCCAAATCCGGTGGTAAAAAGAAAAATAATGACATGGTTGATTAAAAAATTATGTTTTTTTCCTAAGCCCTGCCCAAATCCAATGGTTCTGCGATCTGAGCTGTGCACGGCGCACCGCGAGTCCAATGTCACGTGGCAGGCGTACTCGCATCCTTCAGGTAGGCTGTTTTGTTCCAATGGAAACAAATATCACATCAGGTAAAGCGTGTCAATCTTTTGCCACTTTTTCTTCCGGACGGTCTTTTCTTATTGTCCACTGAGGGCGCCCTGCTGAAAGCAAATTGTAGCGTGCGTGAGGCAGTTTGCAGACGACATTCATGACATACCGTGGCGTAGTAACTTCCTACCCGTGGGCGTATCATTCTATTTATTGTGTTTTGTTTTCTCAGAATATGAGATTTGTGTGGTGAAGTGTCCTTGGATAGTGCAAAGAAATAAAGCAATGTAGAAATAAAACCTTGTTTTCTGTTTTCCGCGTTCATTTTGTGGACTTCTAAAACAGCGAGCGAGGGCCGTCTCAAGTAAAACGAGACTAAAGTTAACATTACGGCCGTGTTTTTGGAAAATTTGATCAATGTTAGGAAGTTTTTACATGATGTTATTATTTCCATCATATTGAGTGGGTTGCTCCATTTTGTTTAAAAGTCTGCATGAAACTGGCAGGAGGCAGTGGAAGAATTTCAGCTTTTTGTCAGTTTACATCCTGTACCGATGAATCAGCAAAGGTGACTCCATTCTGATTAGGCCTTCAGATTTCACATTGCAGTCTGAGAACGAAGGGAATTTGAACCTGTGCAGATAAAAATTGACTTTTGGATTTGGTAAAATTGAAGACAGACTTTTTCGAATCGTGATTTAAACTACTGCAAGTCTACAATTGCAGTTGCCCTTTCTCTTTTGTTCCAGTGGGCACTTGCCAGGTGGCTTGTTACGCACGCAAAGTCAAAGCGTCCACACGGGCTTACACAGTCTTGGACCAGGGGCTGCCAGACGGCACACCCTGCTCCAAGTACAGAGGCTGTGATTGGTGGAATCGTGTCAGCCAATCACAGGGCATCTGCCTGCAGGGGCAGTGCTTGGTGAGTGAAGAAAACTGGACCTTTTGGTAATATGTAACAGTGTAATGACCCATTGGAAAAAAAATGAGGGGGAAAAAAAAAACAGGAAAGAATTGTGAAGCAGACCTTAAGAGTTTTTGAGTGCCATGTACACCAACACGGTTACCTTGTTTTTAGATCCCTTTCTTTGATAAAATCATCCTTAATTTATTCCTAATTTAACCAGGATAAACTTCCCCTTGGAATTAGGTAGGGATCGAACTCCCAATCCACATGTTGGCCTGGGCAGGATTCGAACCCGGGCTGTCGAGGTGGAAGGCCAAGAAAGTACCACTGTGCCTACATTGACAGCCCGCATCCCTTGTAAACTTGTTGGCATTGATGACACTCCAAAATTAAGTCGGTTTTATATAGAATTCTCTCCATCCCTGTATATAAAAGAAGCCCAACAGTCTAGCTGATGCTGGTCCTTAAAATACAAATCTTAACCACACTGACATATTTACATCACATTCAGTGTACCGAGCAGTGTGTGAACAGGACTGTAGGCCCATCATTTTCTTTAAGCGAAAAAGGCAAAATGTGTCATCTTTTACTATTTATTTTTACATGTATTATTAGTTTCATTTATTTAGCTTATGAATTTACAAATTCACATGCAATATTTTTAACAACATTCTAGAGGGCGTTATGGGCCCAGTGGTGCATCTTTCTATGTTTCTACTTAATGCCATTCAGTTTGAAGAAAATGTAATATTGTGGATCAAGATAAAGCAGTATAATCGCCCTGTCAATATGCACAGTTGCCCATTGGAAATGAGTAATAAAATGGCATCCTCGTTGGCAGGATGTGGGCTGTGATGGCACCATTAATTCCACCAAGGCTCTGGACTCGTGCGGGGTGTGCGGAGGAGACGGGTCGAGCTGTCGCATCGTGTCTGGCAGATTCACAGAGACATTGCAAGGAGGTGAGTCCAAGATCAGCATCATCTCCAGTAATATATCAGGGGAGGAAGGGGAGATGAGGAAGGGGAAAGATGCCCCCCCGAGACTTGTTGCTAGAAAGCAGAAAAGCAGGACATACAGAAGAGATGTGAACTGTCTCTGATTGATTAGATAATTCTAGTTGTTGTTTTAAATCATGCTTTGCAGTTTCCACTGAGGTGGTTGAGATACCAGGGGGTGCTTTCAACGTCAGAGTATACGAGGTGGAGAAAAGCAGAAACCACTTGGGTATGTATGACATTAATAAGCCTCCATGTTGAATTTGCATATGTACCTGGATGTGCTGTTTAGTATGATACTCAAGTACAGTCTGTCAAACCTTGTTAATTAGAGTAACAGAATACAACGCCTTGCTTATAACAAGGAGATTTTTAAGCCCAATCCTTTTTCTTCATTGTTTACATTCCCGATAGTATAGGGTTTCTGTTATAACGAGTTAGTCTGCTAAGTCCAAAGGATCTCTTATTCATTAGGTTTGACTGTATACAGATGTCTGCTCTATTGGAATTCAACTCCAAAAACATGATGGCACATTGTATTCATATTTTGTCAGTAACAGAGCATCCCTGAAGATGGTTTTACTGTTTGTCTTGAAAAACTTGCAGCTATTACAGATGAGACGGGAAGGCCAGTTTTAAACAGCTTTCTTGGAATCTGGAACCCTGGTCGTTATGAGGTTGCGGGTGCCACGGCCACCTACAAGCGCTGCGGGGTCAGCCGCTTTAGTCCCGGTCATTATGAGGAGATTCTCATCCATGGAGCTACCAGTGTCAAGATCATCATATCGGTGATTTATTTCCCCCCTGTCGACTTCAGAGAGCAAAGAGTTAACGTTTCTGTTGAGAAGTGAGCAGGTTATTAAAAAACAACACTTGAAGGCAGAAAACATGTAAACACGTTCTTGCTGTCTGTGCAGAGGGTTTGCATGGCTGCCATCTTGCAGGCCAGTGCTTTTGTTCTACAGGAACCTCCAAAGGAGGTTTCCCTGTGGAACAAAATAACTGCCCTGTAAGATGGCTACCATGCAAAGACTCTTTACACAGGCATGGCTAACAGGTTTATAAAATGCCAAGTGTGCCTTTACATACCTCTGGCTGGTATTTCCACATTCCAATCCCCTCATGGATTTGTTTTGTTACTCACAATCAAATTTTGGGAAGTCTGTGGAGGCAGATTGCGTGTTGCTCTTGAACTTGGCCACTGTGCACTGTACTTTTAATCATGACTTGTCTCAATGTCTTATTTCTTTTGTGGTTCTGTGTCTCCACTGCAGATCTTGAGTCGAGAGAAGTATACACCGGTTCATGTTGCTTACCAATATAGTCTACCGTTGCCAAGGTCTCATGGTTCTCAAACAACTGCTTCTCCTACAACATCTGTGACATTAGAGGTTACAACAGAGGTGGCAGAAGTAATAGAGTTGATGACAACTCTGGCAACTGAGGAGTCTTATTCGAGCGGTACCCCGTTTGCCAGACAAGGGCACCAGAATATGCATAATGTCATTGCTGTCAAGACACTGTCATACAGTGATGATGAAACTGAGGCTGATTCTGGATCGCAAGGTACCAGTGACCAGCTACCGTCTTTTTCCCAGGGCAGGAGCAAAACATCCTTTTTAGAGCACAGCACATCCACAGAGGTTACGAAACCTGCAGCTGTGGACAAAACAGATATGTACATGGAAATTCAGAATGAATCCAGTGGATATAAACAGAATGTGGATACACCGGACTCAGAGGATACACTTGAGAACACACTACCTGAGAACGGAAACTCAACTTCGCTCCACGAAAGACCGTCAACGCTGGCAAAACCAGCAGATATGTTTTCAGAAACTCAAGGAAATGATCCTTGGGTGGAGAATGTTGGTCCTGAGGACAAACAAGGCATTTTACCGGAGTTAGAAACTTCTGGACATCTTGATGAAAGTCGAGGACAGACTACCCTCAAGCAGACATCGCAATACATCAGCAGTGACAGCTTTGTTCCTGAGAACAGCACTCAAATCATTCCAGTCACAGCTGAGCCACCCCTTTCCCTTGATCCAGAACAGCCAGCAAACTCAACAGTGGCTAGCAGCATCCCAAGCTCTTCCCCTTCCAGTGGGCAGACAGACTCTTTAGAAAATGACCTGTTCCAGAACAGAGATGGAAACCCGTACGTAACTCGACATCAAGATGAAGGGAGGGGTTCGAGGTCGTTCTCAGAGCCGACAAATATACCAGCGACCTCTACACAAAGAACAATCACAGAAAAAGATTTGGATGACTTACCAGACTTTCCGCTTGAGCACCGGCCCAGCATGGTCGAGTCCACGGAGCTGCTATTCGGTGAGGTCCCACAGATAATGGAGCTCATCAAGCCGTCCCCTGAGAGCCTGGGACAGGCTGCCCATCCCTCAACTGCTTCAGGGGCTACGTCAATTGTCATCTCCAGAGGGGATGTACCCGAGGAAGAAAGGAGGGTAAAACCACGCTACCTGTGGGCCAGGACAGGAGTGGCTCCCTGCAGCACCACCTGCACAAGAGGTACTCCCTTCGGCCAGTTTGCTAAAGTATATACAAATGTTTTTCTGAACAACTGATTTGTACCATTCAAACTGTCAATAAACACTGAGTGTGACTGATCCCCTGCTAATTTTGACTAAGAAAAACAGCTCGTTAAGCATTTTTTTTAAGATGCCAAGCAGCACTTTGAGATTGGGCTGTTGTTTTAAGCACAGATGGCTCTAGTCCAAGTTTTATTTGAAGGAGTGTCATCACAAAGCCTTGGTTTATCAAGATTCTTAAAGTTGAAAGGTGTTAAAACAAAACAATTTAGAAAAAAAATTCAGCTCTGAAGCCCTTTTTTTCTCTCAAGGAATGAGTCGGTCCTATGCTTACTGCACCCTTAATGGGGAACAGGTTCCAGACAACCTGTGCGACCCTGCCTCCAAGCCTGAAGTGGTGGAGAGGGAATGTGGAGGGAAGCCCTGTGAACCAAGGTGAGGAGTCTGTATAGAGACAATACACTCACTCATTGCAGCCACTGGCTAGTGGCTGCTGCCATGTCCAATAGACACATGCTTTTGTCCTATCCACAGCCAGTTGATTTAGACATGGCTTACAGCTCGATGATGGCTTTGTAAAAGTCAGCCCTTTACAAGTCCATACCGGCAAATCTACCAGAACAAACCAGCCATCTGCAGATCATCCATCCAGAAGTCTGCCATCCACAGATCTGCAATTCACAGATTTGCCGTCCACAGATTTGCCATCCATAGGTTTGCCCATCCTAAGATCTGCTTTCCTCTGATCTACCATCCGCAGATCTGCCATCCAACTTGTTTTTCCACTCTCTTTTTCTGAAATGTCGAAGAATTGGACATTAATAAGCTTGAGGCTTAATTTTGAGGCTTTCCAGAATTCTTTTCTCTGTAGGATAGCATTTCAAAGTTCACAAATTTGGCACATAGGTCAGGACCCAACACCACAGCACCTTCCTGTTCTCAAACCTAGCCTCACTTTGAGCATGACATACACATGTCAAAAAGTCAAGGTGGCTACCGGATAGTTAATCTTTTATTTGACCTCCTTTTCTCTCCAGGTGGGCCGTGGGCAGGTGGAGTCAGTGCACAGTGTCCTGCGGCACGGGCGCTGTCTACCGCACTGTCCACTGCTGGCTTATGATTGCGCCGGGGCTGGATACCAGCATCAGCAACGCCTACTGCAACCAGTCCAACGTACCAGACAGCGTGGGTACCTGTACCCAGAGCCCCTGTGGACCTCAGTGGCAAATATCTGATTGGTCAGAGGTATGTACAAGACCCAAACTAACCATTCGTGGATTGGGGGCAGACACCCATTCCCCCTCAGAGGAACATAATTTTGTTATAACAGATTCAGAAATGGGATATTTTTCAGGACTCTTTCATTTCCCTTCTTTCCAAAAAATGCCAGAAGCCTTGCTCCTCAGAAGCATTACACTAAGAACTGAAAGTTCTTGCAACTTGCCTACCCCCAACGGCCCCCTGCCCCCCTCTCCACCAGTGTTGTAGTTGAGACCATCACAAGACCCATTCACAAAGCCAGATACAAGGAACAGGGTGAACGAGGATAAAGGAATAGTTTTGTTGCAGACTTTTGCCCAGCTTGTGCCTTGGAGGCCTTGTGATTGTCTGAAGGGGTGTTGTGATGGTCATAAGAGGTCTTGACTACACACTGGTTTGCATGAGTGGTAACAATCCTGGTGTAGTCGTTTCCAACTCTCTTTTTTTTCGAAAAATGTTTTGATTTACAGTGTTCTGTGGCATGTGGAGAAGGGACACAGACCAGAGAGGTTCATTGCTCTGCAGAGGATGGATCCTGCAACCCGACATTGAAGCCCTCAACGACGAAACGGTGTTTTATACCAACATGCCCCAGTGAGTGGACGACCTCACGATGGAGCCAAGTAAGTCAGGCCATGTCTGAGCTCAGCTAGGTAATAGTACATGTGCCCATGGGTTGTGGAGGTAGTGACCTGGCTTCTGTAGACAGTGGCTTGTGTTGGCACATGTAGTAATGCTAGCATTAGCCTTTGATTAATGCTAAGCAAAGATGATACTCGCTTAGCAAAAGGTGGATCACCAGTCAAGATGCTTTGCATTGTACATGTCTTGCAGCTGGCTTCCAGCTCATTTTTGCTTATGTCAATTTGGTTCCTTCCACTGATTTAATAAGTTTGTAGACAGAAGTTGTATCCATGTTTAATGGATATCATGGATCCGCAAGACAAGTACTTTTTGTCCAGTTGGTGTATTGAAGCTTAATTGTTGTTTTGAGGAATAAATTTTAGGTTACAGTTTCTAGGGTTTTGAGTTTCGTGATCCCGAGTATGTTGACATGTTTTCCCTTGCTGAAGTCTTGCTTTGTTTATTTTTTCTTTTATGCCTTCCAGTGCCAGGGCCCGTGCACCATCCAACACCGTCGTGTTGACTGCGTTAATTCCAGAGGCATCATTGTCGGGGCCAACACCTGCCCAACTGACAGCAAGCCGTTGTCTCACAGGCTGTGTGGGGAGGGATGCCCTGCTCAGTGGGTTGCCCAGAGCTACGGCCCGGTGAGTAATGGGCAAGTGTCTGGCTTTCATCTATCATTTCTCCCCATTGTACACTTAATGTGTATAGCCCAATTCAAGACACCGGAAAAATAACGTCCGGAACAATTGCTTCTGTGAATACGGAAGGTCATGGATTAATATTAAACATGGATTTGTATGCATTTACGTGCTTGTGTATTACGCATATAGTGAAAAAAAGGCGAGAAAATTGGAAAAGATACCTAAAAAATCATACAGTGAAAGTCATGTTTCTTGCCGTAGGAATGTTTGATAGTTTTACATTTATTTTGCTTATTCTACTTTGAAAGGGTACTGAAAACATCAAACAGTCCTTGGATGGACTCATGCCAGACTCAGGCCAAGCCCTCCAGACTTTTGGCCCAAACCTCAGTTTAAAAAACGAGTATGACCCCGTCCAAAAATTAACTCAAGTCCTACAACACATGGCCAGCTGCAGTGCATTCACTTTTATGCTTGTCTGTCTTTCCCCAGTGTCTTGGAGACTGTGGATCCACTGTCCGCAGGCGGAGGGTCATCTGTGCGGCCACCAGCGCCGTCAGTGGCCGCATGCAGGTGCTGGCTAACTCGGTCTGCTCGGCCTCGCAGAGGCCCGGCACTGAGACCAGCTGTCAGCTAGTCAGCTGCCAGTCGCGGCCGACACGGAGGCGACGCCAGACCCCGCAGTGGTTAACTACACCCTGGTCTGTGGTAAGGAACATCTCCTGGTCAGTTCACTATGATCTTCGTGCC